GCTGCCGCCGCCGATCCAACGAGCGGTAGACATGGGCCGAACTGCCAGGAACACGACTCCGCCACTTCAAGTCAAAAGAGGACGGACTCTGCGACTGCGACCCATGAGCAAAGCACCAAAGATGTGCATGCGAGCGAGCAGGGACCAGCCGAGACGACTCACAGATCAGGCCAACCATTGAGCGGGGGAAGCCAACATGTGAATCCTGAACAAGAAGGAAGTGACGTTACCTCCAACTCGAAGGCCGGTGCAAAACGAAATGACCAACAGCTACCACCTCAGGAACCTTGTCCAACTCCACATGAACTCCCTGCCGAGCCTCAGGAACCTTGTCCAACTCCACCTGCCGAACCTTGTCCAACTCCACATGAGCCTGAGAACAATCCTCCTCTTGAAACATCTAGGGGCGCTTCGATTTTCTTCAGTCCTTACACGGGGAAGCCAGGTTATCGATTTGCAAGCCTCCGAGAACGGGCTGGCGACGTGAATCCGCTGATATGCTCACGCATTCTATGTTGGAACATCGAACGACCCGACTACGATGCCGAGATGACGCGATTGCAGATTCAATCCTTTTTAGGCGAGTACGCAAGATTAGAACGAGGCAGAAAGCAGCTCGTGAAAGCCCTTTTCCTGTCTAAACGTGGTGGCGGCTTATCTGAAATCGGTACTTCTAGCACAGCTGCGTTTTCGAAAAGCAGTGCATGGGGATCGACTTTTTTTGCTGCAGGAACAGGAGGTGGAACTGCTGGAGGAAACGCCCCGTCGACCTTAATGGCACGAGGTTCTCATCTTGGCCATCAAGGCGGTGCCCATCATCACAGCGGAGGTGCAGGAGGTCTTAGCTCTGGCGCATTCCCTTTTGGCTTCAGTGTGGCATCCTTTGGAAAGACATTGCAGCAGTTGCAGCTTCAACATCAGCTGATGAGTCTGATGTCACAGACACGGGCTGGCGGTCGAGCAACTGGACCACATCCGATTGGCCGACTGCTGCCTCAATTTCAACGCGACCTGTCGCAGGTTCTGGAGCAGCACAGTCTAGCCGCGCATCAGGCTGCGATGGAAGCAAAACAACGTGAGGAAAGCAGGACACATGAGGCTGCTCAAAGCGAGAAAAACGAAATTATAAGTAATGCAGAAGGTGGAGATGGTAAAACCACCAGCAACACGTCTCCTCCAGACAATTATACAGAGGCGTCTGGCCGCTCTGTCTCTCCAAACCCAGAAGGCTTACAACATTAAGGCTTGCCGTAAAAATTCATCATTATGTCTTGAGTAGAAGCTAGCATCTTTGCCACGTTTTCAAAGGGAATAAAAGGCGTCAAGAAAGATGATCTTGAAGATGAATTTAGGCAAGCTCAATCTCTAAGAACTGCAGGTGAGCAGCTTACTCGAGCACTACTTGAAGATCGGCGGTTTACTCGATCGCCAACAAGAAATTGACCGTCGACTCGGTGGCAGCGGTCTGAAATTACAGGTTCCCGAGCTGGACACTACAATCAAATGGCTGCAGTGGGCGCGTCGCGAAGTTCTGAAGCAAAAGCAGATGGTCGAAGCGAATTCCAATCGTCTGGCAATCACCTTCAGTTCTCAAAACCTGGAGACCAGCAGGAGCAAACGTGGAGTGATATTGAGCTTTATCCCGAAAGAAACAGTGGCTCCTGCATGGACGACGTCGACGTCGAGTACTACCAGCGGAACTATTCAAGGAACTACAGGAGCGAAATCTTCTACAGGTGCAGCAGCGACCTCCGCTCAACAGAAAGAGAAACCTGGTGCTCCAGAAAGAGAAACCTCGCGCGTGGAAAACGAAATATTTCCTGCTGTGGTAGATGAATGCAGTAAGCTTGGTCTCACGTGGCTGCCAGACACATCAACCTACAGCTTCCAGCAAATACAGGTAGAGCGCCCACCGCCATCCGGGGCGGTGGGGCAGGAACCATCAACCGACCAGAGGCAGAAAAATCGACCTTCCCAAAAAGGACTAGAGAATCTTGAGCATGATTCAGCACTCTCCAGAGGTCAGCTGCAGAACCCTCTCGCTCGTTCTTCGATGTTACCGCCGGGTCTTCATGGCCAACAACTACGCGAGCAGAACGGCGTACCTGATGGACAGCTGCGAGTAGTTCTGTTTCTTCGTTGGAGTTGTGCAGAGAAGTTTCATGAAGAATGGCCTTTGCGGGTTTTTCCAGTGGATATGCCCAGTCCTATTGTGCTTGTGCATATGCACGAAAACTCACATTTTTGGAACATCGCGGTTAGTGGCGCATCTGATGGCAGTGTCAACGCCGATCTTTTCCGTCTTGAACTATTGCACCAGCGACCGTGGAGCTATCCCTCAAAGTATGCGCCTCTGCCTCATTCTCGCGCGGCGCGGCCGTCACGAATGAAGAAGGGATCGCCGAGGGGAATGCAAGCGGCTGCGTTTCTGGCAGCAGGCGGCCTTCATAGTGTCAGGTGCCACGTCAACTTTTTCCCAGACTCCCCTGTCCGTTTTTTCACCTTTTCGCGTGGCAACGAACGGACTAGCATCACTCACATCCTCGTGCACAACAATGACATCCCGTTACCTGCGCATTGGGATGATCGCGTCCCGAGTTGTGACGAGTTCACCGTTCCTACTAGAGTGGCTAAGGGAGATCCCTTCGACGCCTGTGGCGGTTTGGAGGAGGAAGAAAATGAAAATGCTGAAGACAGCAAGGCAGGCGATGCGACGACTCCGAAAGAGGCAACCATTGTCAATGGTACAATAAGGAAGGCGTCTCCCCATGGGAAGAAGACGAACACACAACTGCCGGGTGGAGACATCCTAGAACGCGATCGCTCTCAGTACGTTGGCAGGGCTCGTGGCGCGCACATGTTTGTTTGTGGTGCACGAATCGACCAGCCACAGCCTATTCTAGAAGCTCGTCGAGCTTCTTCGTCCCGCGCGCGCACTGAGGCGGTACAAGATGGTTTAGTTGGCGATCCTCCGTCTGGTGTCGCAGGGACGCCACTACAGCAGGAAGCAGCACCCAGAACGTCAGGCTCTCCTTCTCAATTTCTTCAAAAGGCCACGGGGAATAGAGTAGTGTTGTCGGCAGGCAGGCCGCAACTTCCGCTGAATATCACAAGGAGTATTAATAGCCCTCCGCAACCGCTTCCCGTCACCGGAGAGGGAGGCAAGCAGCGCCACGAACTTCCCTCACCAGCGCGCGGCCGTGGCGCAGCTGTCACCACTGATGCGAGTGGTAGTCCCACTGCGCGTAGAAGGGATGGTCACGGTCTTTCACTTGGCCAAGCTAGTGAACAAAAGCACCAACTACCTCTACCAGCTGGCCGACCATCCAGTAAGAGAACAAGCGCGTCCGCGTCGCGGCGGCCGCCTCTGTTGCCTAAGCCTACTCCCGGAGAACAGAACACTCCACGTGGAAAGGCCGAAGGAAATGGAGGAGAAATCGGTGGTAGTTTTTTCATGCCTTCAGCATCTGCTTCCCCCGCTACTGGTAGCAGAGCACAAGGAGGAGAAGCGGAATGGTCCCGGGACGAACAACAGCTACAGGACGAAGAAAGCGTGCCGACTGATGATCGACAAGAAAGAAAAACAGCCGCGGATGAGGACGGAGATGGAACTTCGCATCTTCGAGAGTTGGCTGGATCGAGGTCTGGTGAGCGTTCAGGAACAGGAAGTACCAGCAAAGATAAAATTAGCGCTGAACAAAAGGCCAGGGTCGCCCAGAGTACTGCTCGGGGGCAACAAGCTGTGTCAAGAGGTGGTAGGAAAATGTCGAGTGGGAGCACAACTAGCAATTTCAAAAGCTCACAAGAGGATAGCGCTAAGAAGACGCCAACCGGTCACGAAGCCGCTGTGTCATCGAAGTGGAGATCTTCGAAGTCAACTGACGTTCGGGATCGGGATGCGACCAACCAGCCAAACAGGCCAAGAAGCTCGACTGCAGATGCTCGACGTTTAACGGCTAGTAGATACGAAAGCGAAGCATCAGTCGGAGAAGCAAACCTCCAAAATGGCGAAGGAGACGGGAATCAAAGAGATCTTCGCCAACAAGGCCAAGGAAGAGCTAGTGCATCTCCCGAGCCCAGCGACTTCTTTACAAATTTGAAGATATTCGATAAGACGTCAGCCCGTGGATCTCGAATAACGCGGGTGATAAACGCTTTTTGTGATGGCATTCCAGCTACGACAACAGGCGCAAAACAACACGCAAGTAACCGTAGTTTCTCGATATCTCGACGACGATCTTCAACGATGTCTTCGTCGTCTTCCTCTTCGACAGTAAGAACAAATCGTCGACGAGATGATTATGATCGTCCTAGTGGTAGTTCTCGAAAGGAGACACGAAGTCATGTCGTGGGAAAAACATACAGTTCTGAACAGGACCACTCTGCTATAGCGAAGCGGCGCGGTCAACGACGACTTTCACCAGGATCCTCTGGTACTGGTGGCGGTGCCTACATCAAAGACGGCATCCTGCACAGACCCAAGAAACGCCGTCCAACTCGTCCCGACAGTTTGATCTTATCTGCTCAATCGGGAAGCGGACCACCAGGCCTGATGTCCGGAAGTTCCACGTCGGATTCAAAAGGAGCAGGCACATACGTCACAGGATCAGGGGCAAGAACTAGGAGTGGCAACACGGTAGTCGTAGTCGCAGGAGATGGTCAAGGTGAAGATGGAGATGTTGCATATGAGGATGAGAATGCTATTTCGAATGACAATGATCCAGCTTCTAGTAGTACTTTAAGAAGCATTGGAGGCCACAAGTGCTATTCCTTGACGGTACAAGCACAAGACATGGCTATCACGCGTCTGACGATGCGTGAAGACATGGAACAAGACCTCTACAGTATTTGGCACTTGTACTTACGGCTTCCGCTTCCCCTACTAGTCCAATTTCTCTATAGACGTGATCCCTCAAGCATATGCGCAGCACCAATACAAGGGGAATACTGACGCATAGTACGCTTGAGGTTTCCACAGGGATGAACTGGGGAAACGTCTAATGTACCGCGTTGCAGAACTTCGCTTTTTCCACAGTTTCTACGTTGAGCAAAGGCTTCGCGAGCAACACCTCGCGCAAGAACAACGACATCTTCACTTGGCAGGTTCACGGGTTGTGTCCCCAGGAGATTCTCAACAACAGCCATTGATCGTGAATGGTGTTCACAACATGGTGCAAGTAAATGGCGCTGATACAACTGGAGGCACGGCCTCGTTTCATGTTGTTGATATACAGCAACAAGAAAACCTGAATCATTCGACAACATCTACCTCTAGCACAGGAGCCGCAGGCCAACAGGCCACTTTGATGCATCAAACAAGTGGTTTTTACCTCCTAGGCGATGCTGCTGCAGTTGGAAAAATCCCGTCTGGTGCCGCTTTTGATCGAGGAGCCGACGAAGCGGAGGACACCGCTCATCTTGTTGAGGGAGAATCTTCCATCGAAGCCGACGAAGCGGAGGACACCGCTCATCTTGTTGAGGGAGAATCTTCCTCTACCGCTTTTTTCACTCCAACTGCTGGGAACTCTCCCGGCGGCGGTCGCGACGTCGCTACAGAAGATGAAGAAGCAGGAGCTGCAGGAGAAGGCTTGTTAAATATTACAACCATGGAAGTAGCGGCGGCCGCGGCGGCTACGGGTGATGGTCGTTTCGCTCCAGCTTTTTCAGAAGCAGTTCCCAGCACAAAAGGCGGTCTTTTACCACATCCCCGCACTCATTCTATCGACGAGGTGGAGGCCAACGAGGGTGATTTCGTTCACCTCCGATCGCCCCGAGGCCAAGTAAAGTTCGCATCTGAGCCGTCTTTTCATGGCACAATACTTCTTTCACAAGGTAGTGGAGCAGGCGAGAGGCAGTACAAGACCAGTCATCTTGCTTCTGGTGTTAGCGGCCAGCGTGTTCAGGCATCACCAGCAGTAGATATACCAGAACAGGTGCAGCAAGAGCAGCACGACGCTCGCGTAGTGACTGGTAGGGACGAAGGAGCTGCTGGTACTACAAGTACAGCTACTGCGGCTGCTGAAGGAACAACTTTGCAACCTGAGGCTGAGGCTGGGGGTGTAGAAGCCGATGCCCCACAAGAGCCAGAATCTCCAACTTTGCAACCTGAGGCTGAGGGTGTAGAAGCCGATGCCCCACAAGAGCCAGAATCTCCAACTTTGCAACCTGAGGCTGAGGGTGTAGAAGCCGATGCCCCACAAGAGCCAGAATCTCCAACTTTGCAACCTGAGGCTGAGGGTGTAGAAGCCGATGCCCCACAAGAGCCAGAATCTCCAACTTTGCAACCTGAGGCTGAGGGTGTAGAAGCCGATGCCCCACAAGAGCCAGAATCTCCACCTGCGAGTCCTAGTAGGTATGTTCCCGTTTATGCGATTGGGAGCGCAGCTGCTAGGGAAAGAATCACACAGATTCTGCGGCCTCAAAAGTCAGGCGTCGGCCCAAAATCACCCATGAAAAAGGGAAAAGGTGATCTACTTGTAGGAGCTGCAGCTAGAAGTGGAGGATTTGTGCCAACTGTGAGCAGCAGGCAGGAACACGTTAGTGGCGTGCCTCCTGATACAGGTCTGGAAGAAACGAAGCCGTGGCCAGTAAAGCCCACGGCAACGCCACATGCTGCTCATGAAGTTGAAAATGACCCCGAGGCCGCGTTTTACAACCTGATTGAGAGGAGCAAAAGCAGTGCAACGGGGGAAGTGGATCATAGCATAGACCGTGAGACATTCGAAACAGAGATTTTCGCTTTAGCTGACATGCAGAAGCTTATGCCACGCCTACAGCGTAAAAAACGCTCACCCTCGGGGTCGTCGTATGCGCACTTCCATAGAGGTCCAGGGTTACCAGGAGCAGCTTTGTGGCCAGGCTTGTCTCCAACCGTGGGCGCTTCTTCAGCAGTGCACTTTTCTAGAAACGGATTCGACATGATGAACAACCATCGTATACAGAAGGTGGCGAACAAAAATAATTTCTTGTCAGGGGACACGCTAACATCGCAGTCGCAGCTTGGTGCGTTTTCTACGCTCGATCCTGGGGTTTCTAGACCTCCTACTGATCCTCGCGGAAATACCAGTCCTAATCCTCAGCGCCGAGGTGCTGCAGATGGTCGACATCCATCTCTGAGTGGTTCTCGAGAAGATGAGCATCTTGTTGCCAATGGAGGCACTTCTTCGTCTGAGCAGCTCGGAGGTGTAGGAAGTGGAATTTCCATGGACGACCCGGCGTCGATGGAAGATCTGATGTATGATAGGGCTTCTGAGCAGGCTGCTACGGGACATCATGCGACCGCAGGACGTGCGAATCCAGTCGAGCTACAACAGGAGGGATCGTCTGAGGAATTTGCTTCAGGTTTGTGGCCCCCACGTGCAGATGAGATACCACCTTGGGGGGAGCTGCATACTGCGGACGACAATGGACAAGAGGAAGGGCCTCGACGGGGACGAACCAGTGCAGAACTACGATATGCTATGAGATGCAGAATTCAGAATGCTGTTGCAAATGCAGCTGGGAGGCCGCCAGTTGCGGGTGAACAAGATGATCAACAAGCAGGACCACTACCTGTAGTTGGTGAAAGAGAAGATTCCGCTAAAGCGAAGACTGAAGGAGCGGGCGCTGCTGGTGCTGATGTCCAATTCGAGGGTTCGATACATCGTGCTGCCGCTAATCATGTCATTCCAGGAAAGGAAGACGCCACTTTGCAGCAACGCGAGGTGGCGATTCTGGACTGCGAGGAGCGGCTTAGACGACTCGATAATCTTGCTGCGCGTGAGCGAGAGCATTTTCTCACGCACTGGCGTGAATACCTCACTTTGTTCCTAGATTCACCTGCAGATCCAGATTTTTTTTCCAAAAAAAAGAATGGAGAGATAACTACACGAATAGAGAAGGATTATGAAAATTCCAGAGCAACGCCTCCTTCGTGGCGAACGGTCATCCTTGCCGCGCTTCGTGCTCGAGGCGCAGACTATGGCAACCCAAACAAAGATCCGAACTACCAACTACCAGATAGTGCTTTCAACAACCGTCGTCAACACGCTGCTTCTTTAGTATGGGACGATCCTAGTGACCCTGACGTAGGCGCTAGTACCGGAGACGGACTAGGCGGACCGGCATCTAGTCCGAGTGGTCGCGGCAGTAGTGGCGCAGGGCGTGGTGGTTCTGGTTCAGGTCCTCCTGTGTCAACAAGTTCTTCAGGCGCGACAGCTTCCAGCACAGGTCGTTTCTCACTTTCCAGTAACAGCGACATGTTGTGGTGGCGACACGTCACACTCGAATACAAATTACCTGTTTCTCTACTGAATGATCCGCTGATGAGTTTCTCGAAGTTTTTGCGTATCTTCCAAAGAATCAACAACCGGATTTTCGAGCGCGACGCTGGTGCTGCCTACGACGCCATCTCCATGGACTTCTCGTTCGAGGATATCCTGATAGCAGTTTCGACACATCCCGATGGGGCAGTTATGTCAGAAGAACATGGCTGTGCTTCTTCTGGGAGAACAGCGAAAGACGACGCTGCTTCTCGTGATTCTCGTGGACCTAAAAGTAGAACACGAAAACAGCGCCATGGCTCTCCACTGACTTCGAGGGCAAATGGAGAGGGTTATAGGAAAAATTACTCCCCGTCCCCGGAAGAACGGAGCAGCCACGATCGGCAAGAAAGAAGTGACAGCAACAAGGAAACCTCCAGAGGAGACACGACCCATCATCACTCTCCAACTTCCACTACCACAGACCTACAACAGCCTAGGGTCGGACGTGCAACATCTTCGTGTTCATGCACAACCAGAGGCAGAGCTCACCACGCTCAGACATTCTGGTCGGAATCGTCGAAAGCGTCGCATACAGGCATTACTCCTGCTGCTCGTCTTCACAATGCAGGAAGTCTAGTTGAGGATGACGGGAGCCCACCGTATATTGCTGATCATGTTGTTCCGAACAAAGGACGAGCACGAGCTGCTTCTCCTAACCCTGGTAGCACGACCTCTGAGCGCGGACGTGTTAGTCGGCCTGCTCACAGTGCTACTTCAACATCTAGTCGTGCAAGACATACATTACCACATCGCGAGGACCCGGAGGATCGCGACGATGAAATTCCGACAGAACAATCTTCAAACCGAAGAGAGCCTCCTCGATATGAACATTGCAAAACGTCCTCGCGGAGCCGGAGCCGAACATCTTCGTCCTTGTATGATCAGCGCTATGACCACGACGTCTTAGGCTACGTGGATGAACGGGTTATGTTTACGAATGTCATCAAAGCACTGCAGCGTGCAGGCGTCGAGGACAATGTCACCCTTGAATTTGAAGACAAAAATCCGATTCGCCGTGTCGCTAGTAGCAAAGTAGTGGCCCACGCAGAGCGTGGACGTCGTATGAAAACTATCTGGGAACAGTTAAGAACGAGCGGGTCGAGTCTAAGAAAAACAACTTCCTCTGAAGATGGTTGGGGACGAGGAGGTGGGAGTGATGATGCAGGTGAAGTGGCGTTCTTCGAAGATCCTCTAGCAGAACCAGATCGTAGTGATGAGCACACTCGCGGTGGCCACCATGGTAGGCCGCGTGATGCGCCGAACACTGATGATGAAGAAGACGGGGGACTCTTCACAAGTGAAGAGCAGAAAACCCTTGAAGTTGAAGACGAAAAGAATGATGATTTTTACAACAACGACCGGCAACGGCATGAGAAACAAGGATTACCGAGTGTACAACGAGGAGGCGTGAACAACGTTGAGACGACGCTCCGATCCAGCCATCAACATCGACATCGTGAAACGTCAAAACAGCAACCACAACACGTTAGAGAACGGGGCCGAAGTCGAACTTCAACAAGCTCACGAGGGGAGAATCATCCCGTCTCGGGTAGTGCTAGGGAATCCAAGAACACGCGAAATCAGGTTCTGGCAGACCTCTTGCGCGAAGAAGAAGTACATGACTCAGGTGATGAGATGGCGGTCATGCCAGTTGAGAGCTACGCTTCTGATAAAACCGCCAGGACTAGGAAGACTGAACATCTTCATCAACTTAACCAACATGAAGAACAACTTGAAGATGCTCCTAGTACTCTTCTTGTCGGTCGACGTAGCAGGAGCACAAGACATAAAGCTCTCGAGCAACTTCGAGAGGAAGATGTTATGGTCGGAAAGACGAGATCGTTGCCCGTGATGGTAGAACGCGCGCGATCGTTGCCTTTAGTTGAAGAAGTTGTAGCCCTACAGCGTGAGCAAACTCCTGTAATTGGAGCTAGAAATAACGACATACGATTACGAGATCAGCCAGCATCAGCAAATAAACGACTGTTGGCTTCAGAGCCTGACACGGATGGTGATGCAGCTCTTCAAAAGCCTCTTGTTCAAGAGCCTGTTGTACAACACGAACCACAGAGTATTAAAGTGCCAGAAGAGCAGAGAAGCAAGATGGAGGAGACGACGACAAGCGTTTTATTCACCGGCTCTGAAACCTTGCGCAAGAAGCGCCGTCGTCCTGAAGGCGCTCCTGCCTTGCTGATGGAACGAGGAACGTTATGGATATTATCGTGTTTCTCGCATCGGCGATCGCGATTTCTAGTCTACTCATTCCAGAAGGCGCTCATTTTTTCATCTTGTTCAAACTTAAAGCAGGCGTGAGCGAAGTTGGAGTTCTGCAGCATCCTTATCTCTCTAAGCATCCTTGGCGCGTTCAAAAGAGGAAGCCGCAATATGGAGCCTCGCGCAGGGGAGCTCCGCATGCTCGGAGCTCCAGAATATCATAGGGGAAGAGCGGGAGTGGTACGACACTTCCGATCAAAGGTCGAAAATCGTTTTTTCTGTCGATCCCTTCTTCCCTATGCTCGAGAAGTCTACCTCTTTCAAGAGGCAACTCACACATGGCTTCATCTCAATTTGGCTCTGGATGTAGCTGTATTCCTGTTCACCTTGCTTTGCTTCCTCTATGACAGGTACGGAGCGTGTGTCGCGAATTCTTTCAGGGCTATAATTTGTTGTAGGAACAAACGGAAGCGAAGATGTCAGAAAAGAATTTTTGCTAGAAGATGTCGTGGACAAAAAAAAACGAAATGGGAATGACGTCAAAGTGTCGAACTACGGACACTTATCTTTACATCTAATGATAAGAAACCGAATGTCGAGACCTGCTTTTTGCTTGTAGTTTCTTTTGCGCTTTCTTATGAACGGAAAAAGTGCACTCACAGTCGAAAAATTGGCTAGGATTCAAGTAGGAAAGTAGCTATTTTCTTGAGTGTGAGTGCACTTTTTCCTTTCATATTTCTCAATATGAGATTGCTTATAACCGAAGCCAAATCTCTATCTCGAAGAAATCAAAACCAAATCCTGATAGACGAGAAAACCAAATCTCAAACTAAGCTTGCACCTAATGATATTGATAAAATCGTTTAAACTGATGGCGATCGCTGTAACCGTTTCCGTGAAAACAATATATAAGTATAAGTATGATAAGTAGTTTATTAGGGATATTAAGGATAGCTTCCTACTCAGGAAGAGCCAAGAGAAACCATTCTATTTTTGACAATCACATCATTGTCATTGACAAGGTGTAAAAAAACCAGACGCAGGACGCTATGTTTTGTTTTTGACAGATTCACGAGCACCACTTCTTCTACTACCTACAAAAGTGATCTTCCGCGTACTTCATCTCCATTGTTCCACTCCCCATTCGCCATCGACATCCACCTTCTCCATTCGCTTAGGAAAATCGGAGTTTTTCCGCGTTCCTACGGGAGTATCAGTCGCTGGTGCGGGTTATAAAAGTACAGATAGGTTGTGCGAAAAAAACTTGTTGGTGAAGTATGCACCCATGATGCCCCAAAGAGGCAACAGTCATTCTTGAAAAAAAGGCAAACTGAAAAAGGCGCAATAAAAACTTCTCAAAAACCACTCAACATCAAGAGCATTTTATCTCTAAGTAAGTAGCCTTTTTCGTGCATTCGTTTAGATGCTAGAAAAGCATCATCATCTTACTCCAAGTAGAAACTCCATGTTGACTGTCCGACAGACCTTACCTCTGCATCGGCAGGGGTAGAAGGCCCTTCTAAGAAGGGTCTCCTCATATAAACGAGTCGAGGATGAGGCTCGCAGGCTTTTTTGGGCCCCTAAGCGGCGTTGCAGTAACCGGAACGCGCCTTCTGCAACAACTACATCATTTAGGGAAACAAGAAGAACGAGAGCCGGTGGAGAACCAATTTCAAGAACCTGCAGACTCGTTTTTAGAAGATCAAGATTCATTGCATGACGCAGAAACGCACATCAGGCGTGATCTGATCTTGACTCAGCGTCAGCAGCGTCAACAACGACGCAGACAGCGTCATCAAAGAGGCATCGAAGATCTTGGTAACCTTGTCGAGGCTTCTCTGTCCTCTTCAGATGAGAACGAACAGGATGACAGTTTCAACACAGACAAATTAGAAGTGTCTAGTACACCTGAGGCGCAACCAAACATCCACGAAGAAGATGGGCCAAGCAATAGAGCTACAATTCGGGACGAGCTTTCAGCTGATTCTGGATTTTCAGACGCTGCTTCTAGCCTTACTGATGCTGAAACTGGTCAACCTCTCTCTTCTAGTCTACATACTCTTTCAGAGATACGCGGACCTGACTTTCGTAAATCTGATGAGGCAGTGGTGTCCACTCATCGTGATGAACTAGAGGCAAAACTGTTGGGGGAACAAGTAGTAGGCGAACCACATCTCTTAGAAGAAAGACTAGATGAGCCTCCTCATCCTTCTTCGCCTCGACAGAATGGCCTTCGCGCTCATTTCGTCGAGACGGGAAGCAGTGGCGAGACTCCTACTGGTGTCAACGAGGCAGCGCACGACCCTCAAGAGCAGCGCTCGTCTGTAGTTGGACCTGTACTGATGGAATCATCGAGAATTTCGGAGCCATCTTCAGAGCTTGGCGCGCCATCTTCGACTAGTGAGGTTGCTGGTGCGGCTAACGCTGAAAGCGATGCGAAGTTAAGCTTTCACGAAAGAGAAGTACTAGAAGTACGAGTTATAACTTTGGATTTCAGATGTTGATCACTCACAATAGCACGATACATGAATTGTTCAAACATTCCGCGCATTCTTACCCTTAAAGTCACTACACTCCTCTAATCCCCGCGAAACTCGACGAACAACTCCACGCCAGTGCCGAAAGTCTCATGAAAACGAATGACGAGATGTCTGAGATAGAGCGGAAGCTGCACGAAAGGCAAAGTAGTCTGAAGGAGCAGATGGAGAAGAAGCAGAAAGAGCTCCGAGACATGATCGAACATCCGGAAAAGGTAATCGATCGAATGCGACACAAGAAAACGAGCAAGGCTGAGGGGGAGATGATGTTATGCTTTAGGCGTAGACCATTATCGTCGGTTTCAAGTTCAACTTCATATTTCTTGCATAATAATCATTGATGTTGGTAAAGAGGAAGAGCGTGACAAATCTTCAATTCTGCAATTCTTCTAATTCCAGCCCTCGAATCCGGTAACTTCCGTCAGGACGAGCCGGAGGAGAAGGCAGCGCCGCATCAACCTCCATCGCAGAATGCCGCTGCACCTAGTAGTGCACCATCTCGTCCACAGCAACAGCATAAGCTGCATCCTATGGGTCGTGGCAGCGGCACCACAGAGCAGGAGCTCGAGAAAGGTGGCGTCGCAGCCAGATTGCTGGAAACGAAAGAACAGTACGACATTAGCAGTACTACAGCAGCGACCTCAGAGGACAAGGACAAGAAAGAAGCGACTACTGCGACAGAGAAAAAAGCGATTCCAGTTTCTGTCGCAACGTTCGACAAGTCGAAGGAAGGGATTACGCAGCAACACAAAAGCAAGAATTATGGGAACAGATCGAGACCTTCATTGTGATCATGAAGTAGATCGATGAGAATTTTTTCGACCTCTTCTTGTTGAACAACGTCGCTCCTTCTTTTTAGATTCTGTTGCAGCTACTGAGAGAGACTGAGAGAGTCGTAGATGTAGTAGATCTTGCACCAGCTAATTTAACGTAGTTGTTCCTTTCCACATCAACATCCACGTCCTCTAACTCCCACAAGACTCTTCTTCAACCCAGAAAGAACAGCTTGCTCAGCAGAAGAAAGCATCCTCACGGAAACTGCAACTAGAGGTGGTGCAGGATAAAGAACGAGAGCGACAGATCGAAGCGCGAAAGGCCATGGAGAGGGAGGCTTCCGCCTACCATGACAAGATGGAGGCAGACGCGTTGCAGATGCAAAGCCTAGAGCAGAAGTACGTCGACGATGTTGGCACATGGGGACAGACGACGTCGAGAGTTATGGATTGTAATTCTCGTTGTAGCTAAGACTTAGCCCAAAAAGAACAGGAAATGTTGGGTATCTCATACTCATATCTTCCACCTTGATATCACATTTTCATCGATCAATCTCCCACTCGGCTTCTTCTAACGGCAAAATCAACGACAACATCCAACGCATGAGAGCGCGCCAGAAGAAGCATATGCAACATGGCATTATCCCGTCTTCAAAGGCTGATATCGAGGAAGATGATGAGGATTTCAAGAACGAGTACTATGAGAACGGCATGATGCTTGCCAAGGATGTCTTTGGATCCTCCAGTACTAGTTCTAGAGGAGGATCTACCTCTGGTGCAGGATCTTCTGGATCCCCTGGCTCATCTGCTTCAGTTGGAGGAGGAGGTGGAGGAGGAACTAGCAAGCATCCTCAACACTCCAGTCATGTAGCAGTTCTCACGAGGAAAGTCGATGTCGTGGTGGAAGAGAAAGATGCACGAACACGAAACGAAAGATCGTCAGACGCAGCTTCATCTTCTGATCAACAAGAAGCACATGTTGGTGGTTTATCTTCATCTTCTGATACAACTTCTAGTCATGAACAACAGGCACAAGCAGATGATGCAGAAGTACTAGATGCTAGTGCGGCTACAAAGAAGACGAGTACGACGAAGAAGATGGGATTCAGTGTCGAGATGGGCCAGCTTCATGACGAGGATGAGACTGTAGTAGAGTCATCTTTGAACGACCACAGTGAAAAGGCAGCGGTCAAAAAGAGCAAGAGCGCATCTTCCTCAAGCAAGAGCAGCAAGAAAAACGACAAGACCAACAAATCCTATTCCAAATCACGACCTTCTAGCCATAATATGACAGATGGAGAAAACGAAGACTCAGTTGTAGCACTTTCAACATCTGCTTCCAGTGGTGATGCTGAATCGGATGAAACTTCTGTTGTCGAGGCGCAAGCCAAGCTAGCCAAGCAGTTCGAAGAAGAAAGGGAGGAACATGACAAAGAAGTCGCTGACCTTCGAAAGAAGCTAGCTGAGCAAGATCAACGCATGACAGCGATGCAACGGCTGCTTGATTTGCAGAATGCCCAGACACACAACATCTTGGACGAGACAAGGCAGAAAGTGAAGGAATGGGTACTTTGAGAACTGCTCACGAGAGATGAAGTTCTTTCACTTTCATCTCGTCGTTTTAATATTCTGAATCAAGAACGAACACCAACACGAGGTGTATGATCACTGCTCTCAGTCTCATTTCTTCTGCAAAATGATTTTAACTTTGTGCTTTGACCATTTTGAATTATTGAAAACTATCAATCTAGACCTTCCATCAGGGTTCTTCTGCAGATGGCCCCAGTTTGTTGGAAGGCTCTTCCGAAGGTGATGGAGGAATGAAGAGAGTGCAGTTGAGCGCTCGCGCAGCTAGCGGCTTCGACGAACCGTCTCACTATGACGAGGAAAAATATTTGGAGCGAGCACGAAGTAGGAAGGCGCAGGTGGAGGATGGTAAGACTACAAGAACAGCGTCACGACAAGCTGCAGCGGGTACAACATCATCCGGCGCCGACTCCGACTCAGTAGAGGACCCATTTTCACTGGGTTCTCCTAGCTTCAGTCTTGCAGAGAAGAGACGAACAAACACTGCTGAACTACAAGAGTCTACATCATCGACTAGTACAAGTACTAGTGAACAAGAGTCTACGTCTACTAGTACCTCCACCTCAAGAACCTCTTCTAGTGAAGATTTGAAGCCTATGAGTCGGTTCTTCAAATTCTGGGAAGAGCATGAAAAAGACCAGGATCCGCATGACAAGCTAGACGGAAAATTCATCGACCACTCCGCAGAATGGGATGGCTTCGGGAGCGATCCTCATCGAGCGGCGAATCGTCAGAGGGAGATGACCAGGAAAAATAGGGTTATGAATAAGGATTTCTGTAGTTGAGGTTGACTATTGGATTTCCTCTTCTATTTTCAATTTCTGAATAAGGATTTCTGTAGTTGATGTTGACTATTGGTGGATATCCTCTTCTATTTTCAATTTCATTGAGCGGCTAGAAGGTGTAGGTTAATATATTTATCAGAATCTCATTCTCTAACATCAAACCAAGCCAAACTGCCGGGTCAATGCCAGATCACTCTCACGAGAACGGAGGTGTCTACTTGCATCACACTGGCTCTGTCGAGCACGGATGGGATGACGTAGGCGGTCATTATCACAAGAGAGAGACCACATATCCTTCCGGAAGACGAGGAGGACACCAGAGTACTTTTTTCTCTACGTCGTGGTCTTTGTTTGTTATGCTCATCCAACTTTGATGCCGCATGCTGATCCACATCCAACTTTGTCCGGAGAGCATGGGCACTCACTACTGGACGTTTGTATTCTCAATTTCACCTTCAAATCACAGCACATCTAAATCAATCACATCTTCCAGGTGACCACGCCACGTGGCTCGAAGAAGAGGAAGCAGCTGATTTTTTGCCGACTGGCGACGACTACAACCTCAGCGACTACGATGATGATGAGGACTTGGGCTGGGATTCGCATGGACTGGGTTCCTACGGCGATTTCTACACACCCACAGACTACGGTGACGCTTTCGCGGCGGCGCATGTCGGGTTTTGAGGATGAAAGGGAATGCTAGGAGGACGGAATAGAAGACTAGAAAGTAGTTCTAGTTTTCTTTTCGAAGAAATCTGAAGATCATGAGCTTCATCAGAAAGCTACGATGTTCTTGTTCATGTTGATGTTCATGATAACGACAAGTAAATCATTTCTTGCTATTGAACATGATTATAATTTTGCAGAAAGTTTATTCGAAAACCTCATTGTACAGAAGTAGTTACTAGTCCAACATTTTTCTCCCGCAGTAGCATTTACATTTTCTAAAATTGAAGAATCTGAATCGTTTTGCATACTGGGTCGGTCCCAAGGACAGCACAAACACACAGATACACACACGACGTGCCACCGCAAATTACGATCACTTCTTCACTATCACGCAGAGACTCAACTTCATTTTCAACCGAACGATAAAAGAAACTCGAGCCGTTATTTCGAATTTTTCCTTTGCTTTTGATCATTGATCATTCTGATTGATAAAGACCCGAGTTCAATATCAATGAATTCTCCACATGGTGCTCGATGAACGAGACAGTTTCACTACGAAAGCAGAAGAACAAGCTTATGCTCAGTAACATGAAAGAGAAAGCAGCGAATCTTCGCGTTCGCCCAACCCCTTGTTCTTCGTACTGGCACGGCCATTGGTGGGTCTAGCGGCACTCGCTAATGTCGTGCTGGCATTGCCGTGTTCTCGCGTGAAGATCCAAATTCGTGGTAAATCGCGTTGCTTCGACTCGTTCTCGTTGTCGTTGCTGCCACAACTTCGCTGTCAGATTACTTGCTCGGTCCCTCATCGATCACCTCCATTTGTAACCGTTATTCTTCCTGTCCTCCTCGTTCTTTCGCGGAGGCGGGTCCAAACCCCAAAAAAGTTCTATGATTTCGGTCAAGTGCTAAAACGTTGATCTGGGAGTCCGATGATGATTCCCAAAAACCCAGAATTTCGTCCAAAAGGATGATGATGATACTGATGATGATGATGATGATGATCGCCCAAGGAAAAAGGGTGACGGGCTTGATTTGTAGGTGGGAAGAAAAAGAACATCGGAAGGCTTCGCTCTGGATCGTTCAACGTAATCCAAATCGGCATCTTCGTTTTTTGGATGGATCAGCAACAACATCGACACCTAACATCCATCTTTCAGAAATCGTACTTTTTTCGTTCAACTCCAATATTAAAGCCTTCAAAGTTGCAAATAAAACTAAAATAGCTTTATATATAAAAGAATGCTTCATTTCTCCTTCTACGATTTAGAATTTGATTTGTGAAATATGCTGTCTCATTGGGAAACTCGATCCTACTAAACACTTCTCGTGGTCTACTTTCTAAGCGTAAAGAAATCAAATACAAATCTATGCCCTCCTCATCGAGTTCCAGTAAGAGACCCGCCGCGGACCTAAACAAAGGCGGGTCCAAAATGAAAACCGTTAAGAAACAGACCGAAAAAGCTGCTGATAAAGCGAATAAGCAGTACGATAAAGCACGGCGGGAACTGAAGGCTGCGCGCAACGAAGTAAAGCAGTCCTTCAGTGCCATCAATAAAGCTGTGCGAAACGTAGCGAAGTACAGAAAGCAAATCCCGAGGATAGAGGGGAAGGTAAAAGCAGTTTATCTCCATCTAGACGTAGATTTGGCTTTTAGCTCAATCACAACCACTTACAGCAGAAAAATCCTCAAATGTTTCCTGACACCAGCAAAGCTCCAGTTTCTTTTCTAAGGCTCCTTCTGCACCCATATCATTCATCAACACTCGTTCTCATGCGTTTCCACTTACCAGATCTTCAAAATGTTTCTCGCGATGCTGAAGAAGAATCTTAAAGCGCGCACAACGCTGAAGAAGGACGAAAATAGACGAGTTTGGACATGCGAAGAACATCAAGAATTCGAAATGAAGGGCGTTGATGTGGAGCTCGTCGAGCGACTTTTGAAGGAGAACGAAGAGGACGATGGCGATATTAATGAGGAGGAAGAGCAGGATGATGCTGCTGAAGATGACGAAGATGAAGGAACCGAGAGCAAGGAAGAAGAAGAAGCCTCCCACTCAGCTAGTGGAAGTGCTGCTGCCGACAACGAAGCTCAACTTCAGCAGCAAAAACTAGATGCAACAAAGCATGAACTACAGTGGTGCGTGGAGCACAGGGTCGACAAGTGGAACACCGCAGCACAAAGCGCAAAGCAGGTCTGGCATCTAGACCAGGAGCAAGCTACGCAGATCTTCTGTAAATCGAATCTAGAAAGCACAAATCCGTTTGTCAACAACGGCACCACAGTGACCATCAAAACGGTGAAGCTAACGCATGAGAAGGATACTCTTTCTGTATCTATCACGACGCATACCCACTAGCGTCGGTGCTACGACAATCCCTAGACTGATTCCATGAACCACTCAACGACCTTCCTCTATTCCAGATAGATTACCAATGTGATTTTTGTCCTAAACATTGAAGTTTGTTCTGTGTAGCACATCTTGGTTTATTTCATCTCAATGAGAGAATATCAATATCAATACCTATGATCGCAATCGCTGCTAGTTGATGTTATGGTGACCCCAGGCTGAGCTTGCTTTATCGTCCTTTGTGACACGACCTCCTTCTTGACACCTTCAAAAATCCCTAGCTATCCCACTGAATCCTCCTTCCACCCAACGCGAGCTTTCTCTTGGACTTCGCTACCCTTCATCGTTCTTGGAGACGACGAAATCTAAAAACCTCTATTACTGAGGATGCCTCCTGCTCCCGACAACGACCAGCATGACGACGTACTGTATCACTTGTGTAGAATTCTCCGCTCCAGCACCAAGAATCGTGAAAAATGTCTCCTTGCTCGTGCAGATCTATTTCGTCACCTTCTTGAAATTCATCTGGTGTTCTCTGATGACGTACGAGCGAGTAGCCGAAAGCTAGAGCCTCCAAGCCGCAGCGTGTCCATGCGCATCGGTTGACCCAAGTAGAAGTGCCAACGCGCAACACACCTGTCTGTAAAAAAGTGACTATTCGGTTCACTTTTGCATCGGTTTCGGCCAATAACCCCAATCGGTCCGGCATTTTAACTCTGAGTATGCTCACAAAAATCGGATACCAACTCTACACCCCGTCTTGCTCCTTCCAGCCCCAAAGCCACCTGGACTCACAGTCACAGCATCCCCATCCCCGTAATTATCAAAGAGGCAAGAGAACCTACTGCTCTGAATATGGATATGCATGCAGATTGATTGATTTCAATTTTCTGTGATTCACATTCATCATCTTGATCTTCATTTAGGGAGTGGGTAGAGATGAAGTAGTAGGAGTCGGGTATTTACAACTTTGTCACGTGATTTGCGATTCATGATTAAATAACAAGTTTATTGTTGTACTCTACTTGTTGTACATCACCAACCACAAGCACAACCACAAAAATGCCTGAACAAGTCACCTCTCCCAGCACTGCACCACAATCAAGTGATGCGGCTGCTGACCTGTTGCTGCGACTAAAGGAAATTGAGGCAAACGCGAAGCAGATCGTGACATCCTCTGCAGCAAGTGTCTCATCACCCACGTTATTGGACAAGCTCGTACGTAATGGCAGGCAATACCAAGAAGGTGGGTCTTCTGGGTCATCATCTTTGGGCGACACTACTAGAACATTCTCTACTAGTTCTGCGTCTGGGTCTGCGTTTGGTAGTAGAGGCAGTTCTACTTTCGACCACTTGTCTGCATATTTAGGAGGTGCATCTGCCCCATCTGGAGGGCGTCAACGTGATCGCAGCTACGGAGAGATAGATTCAACCAGAAAGGCGACGGCGGGAGGGATTTCAACCTCTGATCCCCTAGCGGATTTTCATGCCTCTGTTCTTGCAGCACAAGCATCCCCTGGAGGACGTCAAAACACACTACAAGCAGGTGATCCATACCCAGATCTGCCGACGAAACTTGTTCTACCGTCAACGATGAGGACACCTGATGGACATCTTGATTCAAGCTTTTCAAAACCACGTGCTGGAGAGGAGTACAACGATGCGCCACCATCAAAAGGAGGCGACTTTACCTCTTGGATGTCCACGTTCAGAGGCTATTCCCAAAACATCCTTGCTAGCAACAAAATGGAGATTCTATCAACTTATGCCCCTGCACCTCGGAGAGTGAGGAACCAAGAGGATGATGCCGATGGCGGGGAGGAAAAAACAGGTCAAAATCAAGAAGAAGCCTCAGCCGAAACCGACGATGCTACTTCAGCAAAAGAGAAAGAAGTGAAAGTGCTAAAGTCGATTTTGAAGAAGCCACCAGCAGCGGATGTGGATGCTGTTTCTGCGAACAATGTGCTGACCAGCGTACTAGGCCCAGGGTCTCCAGAAGTAGAGAGAAAGAAGACATCACTCTCCTCGGGCGAACGGAATTATACAGGAGTAAAAGGTGTCGCCGACGACGAGGCCGACGATCCTGTCCATGTTATTCCTGCTTCCACGCGCAACTTACCCGACCCTGAGACTAAGGCTTCAATTAAGTTTTACTTTATTTAGTTTTGGTTTGCGATGATGCTGTAGCTGTAGTAGAAGGAGTAACAAGTAGCCCGCCTTAGTCTTATGTTTATGAATGGTTCCGGTATTTGGTAACCTGAATTTGATCATAAGGGAAAACAAGAGGAGAACCCTTAGGATCAAACTCAGGTTACCAAATACCAGAACCATACAGTTTATGTACAAGTACATGATCACGTCATCTTCGATCCAGTTCCAGTCATACATAGACATAGAGTACCTACAAAACTTCCATCCCTTGTTTTTAGATTGGTCAACGAACAGCCATATTTATTAAGTACTCTAATCGTCGATTCGACCTGATCGGTAACATGTTGCAGCAGCTCGATGTCGTGCACCGAGAAGACGCGCCACAGTGGATCGAAAGAACAAAAAAGGGTGACTCGCCTTCGACCACTTCGGATCTAGAACTGATTCAAGGTCTAGGAAGAGGTGGAACTGTTGGTGGCCAGCCGTTTTTGTATGCAGGGGACGAAGGTGGAGATGGAGATGAAGGTGGTGCGCAAAGCGGACTTAGTCAGAGGACCTTGGAGATCAGCCAACCAGCCAACATTCAAGGCGGGCTCCTCTCGTCGACCGAAGTCCTTGAATCTGAAGGTGTCAACGTCCATCTGCGCACAGAATTAGGCAAACTCGTGACAAGATCGCGCGGCTTCGACATTGTAGAGCGCAGAAGAAAATTGATGGCGCATCTCGAGTACCTGGACAAAATGACGCAATATTGTGTGAACACGCTGTTGCAGACGAATCAGGGGGAGTATCAGTTACGGCTTCCGCCCCTAATCCCCTAGTTCATCTTCCGAAGCAAGCATGATCTTAGAGACGTTTACTTGAGGCAGAAAAAGAAGTAAGAGAATAAAAAGAGAGAAGAACGATCATGAGTATCTCGGTGTTAGTGGATATTGGGCTGGTGAGATAATCAAGATATTTCTACGAGGGGACGAGGGAAAAAGGGCTTGCTTCCGATGTTGGCCTTGCAGATGGATACTCTATTAGGGTGATCCTCGAATAGGGTGAGCTCTAAATCACGGCAATGTCGCGAACTTGCGCAAGGGTGTCTCCTTCTCGATTACGTTTGAGAAACTACCAAAAGAACAACGCGACGAGTTGCAGGAACAAGTACCGGAAATAGCCGAAACCGCTGAAGCTTTGAAAGTCTACTGGAAAGGGGGGAATGAATTGTGCAATTTGTTGCAATGGAAGTGGCGTATGACGAAAGAGCTCACCAAGGCAGAAGCAGCACTGGAGAATAAGAGGTTGGCGCTCAATGCGAGGGGAGGGGCCAGGTACTATTGTAACATGCTCGTTGGGATGTTGAGAAGAATGAAGACTTTTCACCATTTCGATCTCTAATATGACGAAATTGTTGTTTGAAGATTTAGATTGTTAAGGAAGTTAATCGACGAAAAAGTTCAACTTGAGAAGTTCACGTTATCAAAAAATCTCTTTGTTGTTCTACTCAATGATCTCGACTTCAACTTTAGTCTCAACAACATTGACGTCCTATTCCAAACAGTGCTTCCGGTTCCGCGTGGCAGGAATTACTTCCTTATCGTGCCAAAGTAACGGCTCTGAGCGACAAAGTGCGTGAATTTGGATCTGTTATCCAGGTTTTGGATTTCAACCGAGAAAAAGAGCCTGACGTTTCCTGTTTAGGCGACCGCGATCAGGAGAAAACGCTATTGCAGATCAGACTGATGCAAGAGCGAATCCAACTTTTGCATATGGTCGATAATGCCGGTGGTCGGTTGCGGGAGTTGGATTTACAGATTATCCGAGTCAGGCACACAAGAGAACGAATAGAGCAAGATGCTAAAGAATTAGGAGACGAAGACGCGCGGTATTCCCAATCCGCATTCTCAAGAGCACTGTTGGCAGCTTCAAAGTCAAAAGAGGTAATAAGTAATATTACCTAGTCGTGATAAAAATACTTACTGAAGACTTGTTGTTCTAAGTAGTAGTACCTGGAAGGAGGTGACTTGCTCATCTACCTGGTGGAGGTCTTCGAATTCGGCCACGTATGTAAATGAATATCGACAGTGTAGTGTGTGAACAATTCCTACAAGAACAAGTACTAGATGAAATTAAATTTCAAGAACAAGAGCGAGTATCGCCTAAATTGCCCCCCACCAGCATCATCTGTAACCGTAATCTTGAATCTCCCTTACAACAATACTACTACTAACAGGCTGGCAAGGATTTGATGGCTATGCAGCGTGAAGAAAAATTGTTTGGTAATTTGACACTTCAACAGAAGATCGAGGTATGGCGCAATGATCCTCGGACTCGGGAATTTGGTCGACGCGTTCAGAACTTGGAGACTGCACGCAAGACCACGATTTTATGAGGCTTTCCCAAATAAATACATCTGAAGACGATCGAGGCATCTTACTCACTTTTCTTTCAAGAGGAAGAAATACTTATAAACAAAAGGCAATCGCAATGGTCAATATTATAGCTAAAGGGCAATCATCTTACTCACTTTTCTTTCAAGAGGAAGAAATACAACTTAGTCAAAGAAATAGAGGCAACGGTGCTGGTCAACAAAGATGCAGAGAGAAAGCTGAGGGTGACCATGATCAAGGGGAAGACTGTAGGGAACAAGGTCTAACTATCGAAGAAATAGACGAGCTGACGCATGATTACACGTTGGTACAAGCACAGTGGGACGAAGTGTCAAAAGAACGCGTCGAGGCAGAGAGGACGAGTAGTCAAAGCTTACACGAAACCCTTGGCCTGCCACCAGAAGAATTTGATCGCTTTGATGATTTAACGGATGAACGTTATGTGCTAGTTTTGTCACGACGTAGTTAACTCAAAGTAAGTAATTCACACTAATAGTACCAAAGGTCTTCATCTAAGTAATTCACACTAAAGATACCAATAAGGTCCAAGTACTAGATTGATGTTCTTTTCTTTATTTGGTTTTTCTATTAAAACTTCTTAAAAAGGACTACCTCTACCTGAATCTGAACTGTATCAGTATCTAGTATGGACACGAGCTCCTCCTCCTCTATTCCTTTATTTTCTAGTATGGTGCAAGGTACGAGAGCTCTAAGAAAGCAATATCAGACGATACCTGGACAGCACAGCATCACTGGACAAGGATGCGGACATAAAAGACGGCGTGAGGATGGGCCGGACGACAATACTACCAGGCAAGATCACCCGTTTGGACTCGTTGCAGAAGGATCTGCTAGCGAAGAAGGAAAATCTCTCGAAGATCATTCTAGCGAAGCATAAAGATTAAGACGCTTCCCCAAATTCAAATTCAAATTCCCCTGAGCCTAGTAATCCTAATCCAGATTTTAATTTTTCGTTCTGACTGAGTGAGACATCCTGGACGAGTCATCTCCAGGATTTTGTTGATCTGTCGAAGAGAAGAGGCCTTGCTTCTTGTTGATGTTTCGTCCATACTCGAAAGCGATCACGTCCATAGAAAAACGCGGCTGACGCATCATAACATGTGTCAGGATGCTTTTCTTCTCAGGATGGATTATCATATAAAATAAAGATTAAAGGTGTGACTGTGGGCGCTTCTAAAAACAGTTACAGACGATAAGTGACAAAAAAACAGCTGCGATTGAGCTCGCAATAAGCGCGCAAAAAATGGAGAATAAAGTAAGCGGCCAGACAGCAACAATTGACGTGGGTTTGAAGGTACTACTACAACTAGTCGTAGTCGTACTGGTACTAGTCTAGTCACCTTTATTAGTAATCAAGTCAGATACTTCTAGAGTTCAAGATACTAACTTGTCTTGTTGATGTTGTAGTCTAATTTTGCCAGGTTGTAGAGTTAGTTCTTGTGATTTTTATCAAGTTGAATCTGCGCGTCGTTTTTCTGAATGAATTGCCTCCACCAGCGAGCTCCTCATCCTTTGATGTTGTTCAACAACGCAACTACTTCCAGTCCTTGCTTCCTCGCAATGCCTTGGAAAGGAATGGAGTGGACAAGTTTGTCACAAGTCGGATCGGCGACGAGGGCAGACAGATGTCGGCTGCGAAAAGAGAGGAGGCTGCTGAGTTAGATCCTGTCGGAGCTTATTTCCGCAATGCTCAACAGAGAGACTCATTTTAAGACAGATTTTCGACTTCACCTGATAGATACTGATTATCCATGTCCATCTTTCAAGTCTGCTTATTCTAGAACATCCTCTCGTCGCTGGGAAACGAAAACTTCTTCTACATCTACAGGGACCTCTACATTAACTTCTACATCAAGTACAAATGTTTATGTAGATATTCTTATTCATCTTATTCGGTTGTTACAGTTACACGACAAGGTCCTCCTCTAATCAGTCCGCAAGAGTCGCATACGCAGTGACGTAGTCCGCGACATTGGAGGGATGGACACGGATCAAACCGCATACTACCTCGATGTGGGCAGGCGAGGAAAGCACGCGCTTCCTACCAAAGGACTCTACAACGAGACTATCTATTTTAACGCTCTGGATGCTGCTGGGAAGTCGGAGAACGATCTAGGCCAGTTCTCTGATTGGATTTGGCGAGAAAAGAAAACCATCGACAACGTTCTTCACGGAGATAAAACGAGGTTGGAAATGTTCTTCTATCCGGAAGGCGAAGAGCAAGAAGACAAGGAGCAAGAGGACGACCAGGGAACTGGGACTGAGACGGAAACTGAAGTACTGGACCACGGAGGAGAAGGTGTATTGAACGCTCGTCGTGGGGCTTCATCTGCAGACAAGGACGTGGCAGCAGCTGCGAAGGGAAATCATGAAACTTCTAGTACCAAGAGTCGTAAGTTGAGTACGAGAGTGAGAAGTGAAGAAGCTCCCGAACGGGAACGTCTGTTGCCACGGGAAGACGAGGATGAGAATAAGTTTGAAGATCCGATAGACAAGATCAAGAAATCCGAACTCGCTTTGGTGAGCAGGAGGCCAAAGAAAGAACGACTACTACCACCACCATCAGATCATGAGGAAGACGAGGAAGTAGTAGAGGAAGCAGTTTCTCCGGTTGCTGGTGGTGCCTTAGATAAGTTGATAGCGGATTTACGAGACAGAGCTGACAGAGTTGGAGACGGGAAGGACTCGCAGGTGGAAGATTCTGATATTTTTCCGCCGCCTAGGCCTACAACTACAAGTTCATCTGGGACCATGAAGCAGAACCGCATCCAGCAAATAGAAGCTGACCTACTTGGCGAAGGGTCTGTTGAGTACCCCTTCATGCCCATGGATGGTGGATCTTCGTCACAAGCGTCTTCAAAGACGTCAACGTCGAGTAAAAACACATCAGATTTATCAAATTCAAGCTCGAGCTCATCTACATCTGTTGATGTTGCTGCAGATGACAGCTCTTCGAGGACTTCTCTTGTCCCAGAGCTAGAGGACAAGAAAAGCGTCTTCAAGAGAAGTGCTCCTGCGATAATTGACGACATCCTTGCTAAGAAGAAAAGATCTTCCACGCCAGTATCTCTAGCTCAAGCTCATGTTGACGTTGAATATGACAAGACTCCTCTTAACGACCAGGAGACCAAGACCACGGACGTCGAGCAGGACAAAAGGATGTCCACCCTTTCCGATGGCAAGAACAATTTCGAAGGGCGGCATGCAGCCGGGAACAACGAGGAGCACGCTGTCCGACTGGAGCGCGAACTAGCCTCCCTAAGAGCCGACCTGGATAGGACAGTGAAGAAACAGGAAGAAGACTCCTCAAATAGAGACAAAAAGCACTCGAACAAGAAGAACAAAAAAGAACGTAGTCCGAAGAAGAAATCTTCCACGACTTCTACAAGTTCAGCTTCAGAAGAAGTTGTGAGGAATCTTCCAAATACTACGTCTACCACGTCGTCGTTCGCCTCCGGAGCCTCTTCTCCTAGTAAGAAGAAAGACTTCCTCTACTACCGGGAGAAGTTTTCCGACGTTCCTCTTGCGAATCAAATCGAGCTGAACAGGGAGCAAGGGAGACGCTTCTGGGGCGATAAGATTCGCGACTTAGAGTCGCAGATCGAAGAAAAGAATCGTCTTCTACTCCGTGCAGTCCAAACGCCGAACATGATCAGCGTCCGCGGTGGCCCTCCTCTCAATGAGGATCCTGCAGCCGGCTTAACAACCGGAGGCGAGGTCCGTGCTACCGATATCAACAAGATCGTCGCGAAGATTATGGCTGCAGTAAATGCATTTGCATCTCCTCTTCAGGCATCTGCTTGGTCCCGTTTCGAAAGGGGAAACGGGGACCAGGAAGATGCCTGCCTAGCCCTTGCAGATGAGGATGCTGCAGATGGTTCTTATGGATTTGGATTTATGACAGTTCTAACAAGAATGTCCGAGAAGTGATGGATTCCAACTTACGGGAATTTCTGCATGAGGAATTGCACCAGAAGCGCGTGCGTGACTTGCAGGAAGTCACGGCTGGGCTGAAGAAGTTGGAGACGGAGGAAACGTGTACTAAGGTTCGTGGCATGTTGAACGAGTTGATGGAGTTGAGAAAACGGCCAGAGTTCGGATCCTACTACAGAAACAGTGGAAGATTACGGCTAGTACCACGACTTCTGAAACATCTTCCTCAGCATCATCCTTGCTTCTTGTTTTTCTATAAACTTGAAAAAGAGTAAGCCAACTTCTCTCCAAGAAGCAGGATACCATTTATTACTCTCTTCAAAGAGCAGGATCATGAGGAAGACGTTGCGAAGAACGCGGGACTAGATCTAAGAAGAGACGGAAACATCAATAGCTTTGGTTTCGAGCTGCCAAACGAAAAGCAAATGCACGAAATGCACAAAAAGTTTGTCCAAGAATTCGCGTCTCGTGGATCCTTCAACCCTTTACTGGAAAAAGAAGCAAGAGCGGGTCTGGACGATCTAGATGGGAATGACCAGCATCCCGAAGGTCCTGGCATGGGAGGTGGCGGAATGTTACGCATCGCTCTTGAAACATTTCATTTATAGTTATACAAGAAACCTTTGCCAGCCTTGTTTTCACTTGTTGATGTTGATGTAGATGTTGTGTCATCAAAATCAATTAGGATGTTCTTGGAGGCACTGTGTTCTTGGAGGCACTGAAGCTAAACAATAGGAATGAATTGTTTCGACCTGTAAGAAATATGGGTCACATGGGTATGGGAGGTATGAGTCCTATGGGAGGTGGCCGAGGTGGTAGGGGCAATGCGGCAGCAACCGCGGCAGAGATCGCGATGGTTGGGCTTTCAAAACAACCACCGTTAAGACTTGAAGCATTTCATATTTGTACTACGCTCTATCTGACACATTTAAAGGGTAATTGCGTCGAATATGTGAGACAAATACGAATCGTTTCAACCTTTAACGCCGGGGCGCGTGGCAGCTGCGGCGGCTCGGTTCAACGAGGCTGACAGAGCCCAGCATGACCGCAATTTGGGGAATTTCATCACTAGTGGCGGTGCTGGGGTGAACAGGAGCAATGCTGCTCATGCGGCTGAAGGCGAAGCAACTAGTGGTGAAATGCCAGTGATAGAGTCGGGAGGAGACGTCGAGGAAGAGGATTAAGGCTACCACCGAAGCATCCTTCTAGCTACGTCATGATCCTTGGCCCTTTTTCTACTTGAAAAAGAAGCCGAAGAGGATGGGGGTTTATTCAGGGTTGCGGGCGCGGTATCTCTAAGAGGAAGACTCCGAAGCCATTATGAGGAAGAAGAAGAAGAAAAAGCAAAAGGCTAGGGCTACAAACGATAGACGCCGAACAAGTGGAAAAGAACGCTCCTCCTCCTCTATCAGTAGAACAAGTGAAAAAAGTAGAAGATCATCCATGAAGAAGAAGATAGGCTTCGCAGCTGCCGGAGGCAGAGAGGACCACGCGAAAGCTACTATGTCAGGATCAGGAGGAAACTACAACTATCATCGCATGTCGAAACAAGGTGCGGGTAAACATAAAGGTGGGGAAGGTGAGAGTCTCCCATCGGCACAGCGAGCGTCTACGGCTCACACCCCTTCTAGAGCAAAAGCGTCCTCAGTTAAGGCTTGCGGAAATCCACCTTCTGAATCTGAGGCATCTTCTGAATTGTCCTGTACCTCAAATGGGGACCAGTACTCCAACGGAGATGCCCTTTCACCAAATAAGTAGATGGATTTCTGTTTCTGCAAGCTCCACTAAGTCAAACACCAAGAACCCTCTACTGAGGAAATCTGTAGGTAGGCGAATGGTGCGGCATGGAGAGGGTGAAAGCATGCCTTCAGCAGATTCCCACAGCTTTCTCGACTCACTGAAAGAACACGACCAGCATGGAAAAAGTAGTGGCGGCAAAAAGTCTGGTGGAGGAGGAGGAGGAAAGCCCGTGCACCACCTTCACCCTGATCACCATGTTGATGATCATAAAGATTTAAGATCACACGACGCGAAGATGGAGGATGGTGAAAAGCACAAATCGTCAAAACAACATCACACGGAAAGTGTAACTGAAGAAACACATCAGAAAAAATCTCATCCTTCGAGAAAGGTAATACAGGGTGAAGGGTCGGGGCTTTTCGATGACTCTAGGTCGAGCAACAGACGGAGCCCCCGCAGCGGCAGCTCAAGTAGGCGTAACGACCGTGGCGGCAGCTCAAGTAGGCGCGACGACCGTGGCGGCAGCTCAAGTAGACGCGACGACCGTGGCGGCAGCTCGAGCAGGCGCAACGACCGCGGCGGTCACTCGAGTAGGCGCGACGACCGTGGCGGCAGCTCAAGCAGGCGCGACGACCGCGGCGGCCACGCAAGTAGGCGCGACGACCGTGGGAGACACTCAAGTAGCCGTGGGGGCAGCTCAAATAGGCGTGACGACCGTGGGGGCCACTCAAGTAGGCGTGGGGGCGACCGTGGGGGCCACTCAAGTGGGCGTAAGGACGACCGTGGGGGCCGCTCAACTAAGCATGACGGCCTTGGAGGCCGCTCAACTAAGCATGACGACCGTGGGGGCAGCTCAAGTAGGCGGCAAGACCAAGGAAAAAAGGAAAAAGGAGGGAAGCTGAAGATTAGAGTCGCGGAGGTTGATGAAAGAGGGAAGGTCATAAAGGTTACAGGTGGCACTCTTGAAGACTTGACGAGGGAAGAACAAAAACTCGCGCAAAAAGCCTATCGGAAAGTTAAGGCTTCCCTCAATTCATCTTTTTGAAAAACATCGATCGTCAAGGGACTTTGTTTTCAGGCGGAAAACAAGTACTAGACAGCACCTAACAAGATGGTCATGTAGTTGCACGTCGAGATGGATTAGGGCGAGCTCTAAGAAAGCGCCCCTTGGAGAAGATACCATCTTCATGACGAGTAAACGAATAAAGGGAGGCAGGGATGTTCATGGACGAGAGGGAAGGTCTTCACACCGCGGTGGTCGCGGACGTGGCGAGGGAAGCGCCCATCACCACGATCATAGCGGAATGACGGAAATGAGGTCTTCGGTCATGGAACCACTAGGCAGGGTACTAGGAGTAAACATAGAAGCAGGAGAGGGAGAGGCGGCGGAACCGGTGGTTGAAGAAGAAGATGCTGATGCCTCAAGCAAGTCACCTGAGTCCTCTCTAGCAAGAACTTCTTCTGCTGCTGCATCACCTGAAATTGAATCGCCTGAGTCCCAGTCCATCTCCATCACAGTAACTGAAGGTGGAACTATGACTGCTACTTCTCCGTCTGCGTCTCCGTCTCCTGGTGATGACAACCCTTCCCAACAGCTGCAACAATCCGGCAAAATTATGCAGGTTGGTCGGATTCAGAATTATGGCACCATAGTTCGATCATGTTGATCACTCAGTACTCATCAGAACTCACAACTACTCAATAGCAAGAACTGCTTCGTCTTCTAATACAAAGCAGGTGGCGGGAAATTTCATCCTCCTGTCAGGGGAGAAGGAGAATCAGTGCCCCTGCGAAATTCGAAACATGCTGGAGGAGAGAAAGTGATCTCCTTGCGGGATTCGAAGCCGTATTCCGAGCAATACCAGAACCGAGGTCGCAGCAAGAACAAGATGAAGCCAGAGGGAGAAGCATCCAGTTCTTCAAGTAAAAAAGTTATGGCTATCTTCATCCCTAAGAGTGAGATATATATAAATCCATCTGCTCACTCTTGCGGCAGCATGATCTTGAAATTGATAAGTATATAAATCCATCTGTTGCGGCGGCATCTTGATGAAAAGATTAGGGCTAAGATCTTCCCTAATTTATAAATCCATCTGACCATCATGACCATCTCCTGCGTGTCATATAAGGAGAAAGGTGCCTCAAGATGCGTCGCAAGATGGTAGCTTAGGTGAGCGCTACGAATGATTCAAGTCATGGGAGTGATTCAACTTCAAGTAGGAAAAGTAATAGGACGTCGTCGAAGTCTAAGCCACCCGCAAAGGGTCGTAAAGGATCCAGTGCAAAAAAGACGAAAAGAAAAAGCGAGAAAGGAAAAAAGAATGGTGGGAAAAAGAATGGTGGAGGCCGCTCAAGTAGTAGAAAGTCATCTTCTTCTTCAAGAGGTAGTAAACCGAAATCGGCTTCTCGCGACAAGAAGAAGGAGAAAAAGGCCAAGGGAGAGGGTGAAGCAGCAGCACCACCTCATCAACAGCATCATTATCGAAAGTCGTCGTCGTCTTATTCCTCTCAAAAAGGAGAATCTGGATCATCTGCAGCCAAAAAGGAAGACCGTCTAGACCATCTTCGCAAAAAAGAAGCACAACTATTGCAAGACCGCGACCACAAAGATGCGCGACAACAACATGACCCACCTCGTAAGATCATGAAACAGAAAGGGGAATCGACATCTTCGATCTTGAACAAAAACAAGAAGAGTAAGAGGGAGCTCGTCAAAGCAGAGGGTGAAGCCCAAAGATCTTCTCTAGGAAACAAAAGCAAGAGGGTCGTAAAAGCAGAGGGTGAAGCAGTAAGCGATCGTGGCAAAGAGGAGTCCTCCGAAATAGAGATTAGTTCAGATTATGGCTTGAAGATACAACAATCGCAATTCATTTCATCAGTAGACCTTGATGTGTGGGGTGACTCCGTCACAAGGCAGCCTACGGGTATCGCATCCTATGCTATCCTATCCAACGGTCATTCCCTATCCCTTTCTCTTTTGAGGTTTCTTTTTTGACAGGGTTCTTCTTCTAACCTTACAGTGAAGACGATCCATTTGGTGAGTTTGAGAACGAACATATGGATCAGTACGGGGAAAAAATAGGCCAAGTTGACCTAGATGAGGACAATCCGGGACGCGCCAGGTACAAGTTAAGGCTATTGATTCATCTCTGGAGCAGAATAGCAGAAAGACGTGCTCTAATCCATCTCGACAGAGATCCCTCAAGAGGCGCATACCATTTAGAGATCGTCCATCGTCAAGCGCATATCAAGTAGATAGTACTCTTGAGGGAGGAGCTCCAAGAGCACAGGGAAGATCTCCACAGGGATCTCGTCCACAGGGAAGTTCCTCTCCACAGCGAAGATAGCTCTAAACAAGCATGGCGGTGGAATCGTGACCCGAGCAGGACAGACAGCTAACCGTGGACTAAGAGAGGGGCAGAAAGGCCTGAATGACTATGCGAATCAGCGCACTGAAGTCCAACAAACCGGATATCTCGCTGCGAACTACCATTATGCCCAGCTACTTTTAAATCCATCCTTCCCCCAGAAGGCTTCTCGGCATCCCTCCGCTCTTGTGAGGACGAGCGTCGATGAGGAGACCACGAGTTACAGGGATGAGCTGCTCCATCCTCCTCTGTAGAGCTCCCATAGTTAGAGCAATTGGCAATGCATTCGTTTCATCTACATGTACTTCTAATTAGGTAGAAAAATTATACCGAAGATCATATGAGGGGTCCAAGAGCAAGAAAGAGATCAACATGAGTAAAACCTGATAGTTCTCTAATACCAAGGTCGTAACGCTATGATTGAAACGCTGGCTACGGCAATCCAAACCCTCCGGCAAAACGTCTCAGATTTGACCGAAGGAATGCCGTTTGTCGCTACTGGGCTTATAGACGTCACAAGACCTTGGCTCTCGCAAAGGCTGCACTTCGCGGCATCCCACGATGCACATTTGTTGAACACTTAAGGCCGCTACAAGAAATCCATCCTCCCCAGCAACATCTCGGCACTCCCTTTTTCTTAAAGGGAGTGACTAACCTAAAAGGAACCAAGATCAATCTCCTGAAGCTGAATTTTTCTTAGTTTCTACGTACACATCGATCTTCTGAGTCTGACAATGAATTATACTAAAGGATAAATAACTACTACTCATACTGAACAGGAACAAGAACTTCATAATGATCGTTCGACAACGGATCACGTTCACAGCGGCAACATCAACATCAGAGAAACTCGTAGAACCAACTAAGAGGAGACCCAGCGAAGTCGTAGGTCCAACCCGAACCGACTAAGACTAACATCATCATTAATAATCGTTCGATGTTTGTGCCTTAGTTCTAAAGTAGTGCAGTGGATCAAATGCAGCTTCAGATGTTGTACGACGAAAGCTGTGCAGAGCGTTGTGGCATGGTGCATATGCTGGAAAAGCTGGGCGCAACCGCAGCTGACAGTAAGCGTCTCATGTACGAGCGCAACCTTTTGGGTGGCAAAAACGTCAATTAAGGGGGCTTACCCTAATCCATCTCACGAAGCATCCTAGGCGCAAGGCTTTTCAAGGGGAAAAGTCCCCTGCTGGGATGAATCTCAAGATGGATAAGGGTCCGCTCTAAGTCGACCATGTGATCCGCAATGTGTGTAACACACTTCGAGACACGCTGATTACAGTTAAGTAGACGTAGATGGATTATAAGATGGAGGAGTTCGACTTGTTGTTTCAAAACTTCCTTCTACAAGTAGAAATTATACTACTTCTTCAACTTCGTGAAAGAGGGTACTCATTTTTCCTCTTCTAGACGTAGACCTCCCAGCACTACAACGAACTGCTTCAACAACTACAAGAATGCATGGGGTTCTTATACATATAATATATTTGTTTCGTTTCATTGTAATTATAGTACATGAATATGTGTCAGTTTCCGTTGTATTCACTACGACTTCTGGTCTTTCGTACAACATCATACGCAAGCAAAGTAGGCAGGCTCCTCCTCTAAGGAAGCAATCGTGCAATGCATGCGAAATTTTGCGTCTGTGGATAGTAGGGATATGACGATGGAGGACCAAGAGGGTGTTGCGGAACATATTCAAAGAGAAGTCGATAGTTAAGGGTCAAAACAATTCATTTCTACAAGCCTCATAACAATTCATTTCTACAAGCATCAGAAGTCGATAGTTGTTACGGCTCAAAACAATTGAGTGTAGTTCAGATTCAAGCACTGAGTTCTTTGCTTCTTCAAAGCTCCTTTCTACAAGCCTACTTCTAAGATAGCTTAGTCGCGGACTTCGGTCTGATTGGTAACCTGCGTGACGCAATCTATGAGAAGTATCTAGGAACGGAAGTAGCACAATGGATGCAGACGTTTTTGCAAAGCGAGTCCGCCTTTGCCTCGGTGAAACGCAATGACGTTGGCGCACTGTTGCAGGCTTTTGGAATCGATCTTCATTTTATGGCTCCTAGTACTGGAAGAGTAAGAGAAGACCACACTTAGTTACTGGAAGAGAATACACGACCAACAACTCGTCTTCCTGATGGTTTGATCTCTGAGATAACTGATGATCATCTATGATGCAGTCCGAACACAACGATGACAAGAGCAAGACTTATTGTTCTTCCTTCTAAGGATTTTCGCAACGTGGTAGTGACGATAGCATTTACGACAGCGAATTATCTGTATCGGCAATTTTCGACGCAGCAAGTGCAACTCAATCAGAAAGGCGGCATGGCAGCGGAAGAAATTCTGAAATGTGGGCGCTTTGATTTCACAGAAATAGAATTGGCAGTCTTGTCACCCGAACAAAGGTTAAGGCTGGTGCAGCTGGTGTCTCTGGTTGTCGTTGTAATTTATCATAATTCATATAACTTTTAAACCTTGGATCATGATGTTCATGAAGATAAAAATATGGAGATGGTTGTTCTACTAGGACGAATCCTAATATTGGTACTATTCATATAATAAAGTGGTGAATCATTTCGGAAAACTCCTGTATTTTGACTCTACTTCCAATCCATTTAAAGATGAGTCCCAAAGATGATCCATTGATTTATTCCATATAATCGTCCATTACCATAATTAGGGGAACAAGAAGAAGAACCTCCTCATCGTCATCAAGAAGGTGAACTTTAGCGTCCCCTAAAACAAGAAGAATACGAGAACAATCGGAGAAAAAAACGAGACAAGCGAACGGCATTGCAACGGCTGGAAGACCAAGAGAGAGAGGAGGAGAAGCACGTAACGAACTTGAATTTGGATTTGAGAGTGGTGAACAGCTTCTTAATCCAAGAATACAGCATCTACAGATCAGCAAACGATCCCGAATCGACGTACGCTATGCAGGATTCTCAAGGGACAGGATTTCTCGTTGACGTTCCAGTTTTCTCCGATGTGCAAATTGCTAGAGGAAGTAAAAACCTAGCGGCCTTAGTGCGTCAGCGTATCCAGGTCTTGACGAAGCGAGCTGCCGGTCTTAGTAAAATAATGGGAGCTACAGATAGAGGCACACTTTTGTACGAGGACCGTCCCGAAGTTCAAGAACTTGAATATTAAGGCGCAATACAAAAATAGAAATTCATGCTCAATCATACAATGAATTGAGTTATCCATTGGGATAAATGCAAATACAGGCAAGAAAAAATGTTGGGTCCTTTGAGCTCTTCTAAGATTATTGGCGATCGAAAATGGTTGAGATACAGTCCTATGCGCGTATGGCAACCGACATTAACAACATTGGGAAGCAGATCAAGGACTTTCATCCGGAGCTAGATTTACGACTGAAAGAGCAACTTAAAATTTCTCGTAAGTAGCCGTCTTCGTCTCCACCTAAACTATACGAAGACGACTACTTCTTACATAAGATATCGATACGTAGTCCCTAAGTCAAGTGACTATCGAAGCGTATTATAGTTTAGCATCTACGATACGATACGTAGTGGTCGTCTTCGCCCACCACGTCGAGTAAGAAGTTGAAACTTGTTCTCATAAGTACTTAGTTGTCTTCGTCTCCACCTAAATCGTACAAAGAAGTCAAACTATACGAATACGTGGACTCAAAAAGGTGTGATTTCACTTGCGGTAATGTGTATAATCATCTCAAGAAAGAAACAAAGCCAGCATGACCATGTAAACCTATCACTTATAGTTTTTACTTGCACCAGGTTATTGTTACTTTCACGGCCTAACCAATTAAAACTTCTACCTCGTGTCAGGCACATCAATCAAGGAATCCATCAATTTTCAGTCAATTAAAAATCAACCACCAGCTCTAATTGCTAAAAAGGCGATGAGACAGGGGAACGACGTGAAGTTTCTCGAGAAGTCCAAAGCCCATTTCGACTTGCAGTTGCGTCTTCAGTTCATCCGCCAAGCGATTGGATTAAAACTGAGGCTTTACCTTAAGGCCACAATAACAATATTTTTGATGAATGATCCATGTTTGTAGTACTAGTACAACTTGTCAACAAGTATGATCTTCATGTTCAAGTTCATGATCTAGTACATATTGTATTTGCTACAACAACTTATTTTGCTTACGCTGAAAGTTTATGCTGCTACAACCCCAAGTAGTGCAAACTTTGCTTTTCCAACTACGCACTACAAGCATCTCTCATATCTTGTTATTTGGTCCCGTTTCTTAGAGCGGAAAGCAAAGGCTTGATGAACAAGATGCTCTATGTAAGTACGTACGTGTAGGAGGTCATCATGGGAGGTGAATTGGAAATGGAAATCGATTTGTCAGAAGTTCTACTCGTTCTAATTACCAGACGGCGCTTTCCCACTTCCAGCACCGTAGTATGGCTGACTCGGCTGCTGTGGACTATAAGGGTGATCCAACCGTCAAACACTTCACTCTGAAATAAGATGGAGCAGAGAAGCAAGAGAAGAAGTGAACTTGATGTATCTATTTGTGCAGCTGAACAACAAGGACGAAAGGACAAGAAGGTGAAGGAGCCTCATCAAGTAGTTCAGAACAACTTCGCCTTAGTCAACATTATATAGCCACTTCTCGTTAAGACTTGAAATGCATAGGGTGCTAGTAGTAGTACATGTAACTCTACACGTCATGATATTACATATGTTGAACGTAAAGGGGATGAAGATGCCATTGTGCGTTTTCCGGCGCGGCTTGTAGTTCCCACGGTTTCCTAATTCTTTCCTTGATGACATAGCGATAGCCGTTCCGATTACAATCGCTGTTCCGATTACAACCTTAATAATAAGAATTTCATTTCTACTAATGACGCTCAACGAACCCTGCGTTCTCCTCCTTCTATCAGAATCAGATACTACCTAGGAAAGAGTTAGTACGAGATAGACATCCTACTGCTACTCTTCAGATTAACATGAATATCATTACGATCCTGCCGAAATTTTTCGAAGAAACAGCGCTTGATGGACATTGAAAATGCAGTTGCTAATATACTTAGTGTATCATGTATAGTTGTGACTATTCTAATCTAGCCATATCATCGCAAAAGAAATTTTGAAGTTGTCTAGTACTAGTACTAGTAGCAGTCGTAGCTGAATCAAATAAATCAAGATGAATGTTTATGATGAAGCATACAACATCTTCAAGGATATGCATCTCGGTTCCAAAAGTTAAGCAACCATGTTGAAATAGTGACATCAGAAAGGTGGAGAAGTTATAAGTAGTCGTGCGCTTTTGTGCGAGGTCGGGCTCGGGGTCGTTGTTCAGCCTTCAACAGACAGACATTGTTCGGCCTTCAACTTCATGCGATACCAGTATACGTACCTGCATTGCCAATCATGAACCACCACCGTCGGGCTCCTGATTGGTAATTTTCTTGTGCGAGGAGGAGCTGTAGAAGTCTTTTTTTCAAAGCGAGAGCGACCTACACGGAGTGAATGTTGAAGATGTATCATTTTGCTTTCTTCATTTCAGCTCAGTGAGGCTGATTGTCTGAGAGAGCCTGCGAGTCTGTCTTTCCGTAGATTTATATCTATGAGTCTGATCATTTTTTTTGTCTGCTTGTCCTTTCAGCAGTGGCGCGGCTCTTAGATCCTTGATATAAATAAGTGGCAGCGAGAGCGACATTGAGATCCTACTTGAGAAACGACCACGAAGTGTGAGAGATACTTTTCTTGTCACGGCTCATCTTCCTTTATCCGGTCAACAACAAGATGACTTTTGCTTTTTAGAAAGAATACCAATACTCTTGATCTTCATCATGTGAATGAACCAACTATGTGCTGCTCTGCCAATACAATTACGATTAGAAACAGACGATTATCGTATAGAAATAGATTGATAGAGTAATAGTTCCAGAATCTGACAGTAGGCACCATCTAGATCAGGAGGACTGCTACTCAGTAACTTCTTTTGTTCTGCAGAAGTCAAGCAGCGATGCCTGCGAAAACGAAAGAAGCCCCTGCGGGGGAAAGGCCGAAGGCCGACACAAGCCTAGTAGCGTCAAAAGGTGTCTTAATGGCTCGAAAACAAGAGCTCTACAACTTGGGAGCACGCATGAACCTGACCGCGGTACCAGAGAACGAACTCTTTTATGACAGAAGAAGATTTTGCCTATACCTGTTTCAGTTGCTTGTACTGTGACGGCTTCGTCTTTGGCAGTATCTTCCCAATAGTTCTTGTAGAGAAACAAAGTCAATAGAAGTCCTCTCAGCTCCGCTCCTCCTCGTCCCTTTCATCTGAACTAAATACCTCTCTTCTAATCTTATCCGGCTGCAGTATGGAAAACCGAACAGCAGGATGATGTGGAAGCAGTTATTAGCCGCAAAAGCACAATGACCGCGAGCGATATCGCTCACCAGCTCAGACCCGATGGAAGACTTAGATGGAGTACTATTCAATTCGTCCAAGACTACGCTATGCCTATGATGATATAGATTTCTGATCAGTTTCAGGTGGAATCGTCTACCTTCAGGAAACTACTTACTCACTTAGACTAGCACAATATATGAATATATATTTATTAGATATTTGGAATATCTGACTTTTTTGATTTTTTGTTTGCTAGTTAGGAGTGCTCCACCGATATAATATATATTTATAGCATCCATCACAAACACAACAACTCAAAATCAGCTACAAAAGCTTTAATAACATTCGCTATCATGTATAAACCCAGTACCCATTTTTACCACCTAAACATCAGCCACGAAAGTGCTCTTCGCTATGTGTAATGGTGGTGTGCGCGCGCTGTTTTTTTCGAAAGACGCAGTAATGAAGAAGTTCTATACGGACGATTATCCACGTGCGAATCCGGGACTTATGTTATGGCTTCATTCTTCTTCTCCTACTTGGCTTTGATTTTCGACTCCGTACTATCCATCAGCATCACCATGATACGAATATTTTTACCAAGTTGTTTTTTTTACGGATCGATAAGTTTTTTTTTTAGACGCATCAACTACCACGTGCAAGAAGTGCATAACTAAGTCGAAAGAAACACTAACACTCCCTTCACTACTTCCTCCTAATCTGAGCGATGTTTATGGTCTTGGGAGTTCTTGTCGACGCCTTTACGGATCCTTGGTTTGCGCGCATTACGGATAACTGGGTGTCCAAGAGTGGCAGACGAAAACCGTTCTTGAAAATGGGCATGTGGTACTTTTCTTTGGAAGTACAAAGGATCATAAACCTCTAAACAACTTCACCTCTAGAATAGGTACAACCATCATCATCAACTTCAACAACTTTTGAAATTCTGGACATGCGGGAGTACTGTATTCCGTCCCATCAAATGTCAACTTGTGTTCACGTTCACCACTCTTGTGTTTATGAGGCAGTCTTTCTTTGGTTTTCTGTAGGCCCAATTGACCACTCTTGCGTTTGTGGAGCAGCCTTTCTTTGGTTTTCTGTAAGCTCAATTGACCACTGTTGTGTTTGTGGTGCAGTCTTTCTTTGGTTTTCTATACGCCCAATTGAGGTAAGGGCTATCGCAAATGACCACTCTCGTGGGCGCTTGCTTTTTTCATTTTGTGTAAGCACAATTGTAGGAGGAGGCTATGGCCAATTTTGTAAAATACTTCATCTTTGCGTATGAAACCACTACCGCGGGTGTGCGCCTTCTTCAAAATTAGCACAATTTTTGGGCTTGTGCCTGCAAATGCACCTCAGTCGTCACCCCAGCGTCTATATCACACATATTCATATACAACCAGGTTCACGCCGATCATCTTCATTCTTGCCTATACGCCACCGGACGTCGGCCCAGTGGGGACAGGCATCTATTACGGTATCTTCCACGTTCTCACAAAACTCGCAGACACGATTACCATGATCCCCTTGGAAGCTTTCGGCAACGAATTGACCAGCAACTATCGTGAACGAACCAATTTGTGGTCGTGGACGTACTAGAAGATGAACTCGCTGATCTTGATGCTATCTTCATGATGAACATGATGATCTGTTGTAGTTTTTGTACTTAGAAGCAGCTTATGGAGTGTGTGTAGGTGTCAAGTTGTATGGTTCTGGTATTTGGTAACCTGAGTTTGATCATAAGGGTTCACCTCTTGTTTTCCCTTACGATCAAATTCAGGCTATACCAAATACCGGATCCATTCACAAGTAGATGAACATAAACATGAGTGCCAAGTAGATGAACATGAACATGAGTGCGATTTTTACTCTTCCACATCAGACACGGAACGCGTATGATCATGGCGATTTTCGGTGCGGTTATTGTGGGCAGTATGAAGTGGGGTCCGGACTGTGCTGGTAGCCCCGATGACGGCTGCTACTCCTATGCAGGAAATACTCTCTTCCTCGGTTTGTTCTTCTACGCATTGCCGCTGTCTATGGCTCCTGGATTTTTTATTGATCAATTTCTTCGACACGACACCATGAGGAAGATACTAGAAGTAGAAAGATACAAGAAGAAGATACAACTAGAAAGATACAAGAACAGCTTCTTCTTGTTACAATTTTAATTTGTAGAAGAAAGTTGTAGTCAACATTCACGGCGAATATATTTTCTTGTTTTTTGTAGAAGAAAGTACTAGTCAACATATGATGTGTTGATACGGCTCCTTTGACAGTTCAGCTTCAACTGTAACGCGGAGCGACCACATGAGAGTCAACAACATTGTTGGCGACTTTAATCTAGCCAAAATGATTCTTCCCTTTTCATATTCCTTTTGCTGATCAAATACATTCCGGAGCGAGACTACCGACTCAATGAGAACTACCTGCAAAAATTGGCGATGGGTGAGCAGTTTTCCGACGAGGGCTTAGTTATGGTTCTTAACATTTAGTGTCTGTGTGTGTGTGTCCATCTTCTACTTTCTCGGCATCTTCTCTCCGGCAAGAGAAAAGTTGTAGGTACCAAGAAAACCAAAATCGCTCCTGGACGTCGTGGACCTCCGGGAAGCTGCGCCCTTTTTGTCTGCAGGCTCTTCTCACCTCTCTTCTTTGAAGAGACTCCAGTTCAGAACAGGTTGCATTTGGCCCCTCACTAGGCTATTCACTTCCGCGGCCGTCTTCTTTGAGACAGCACTGCTGAATACCGTTAGGCTATTAGGCTAGATAGTACTAAATGGGACACCCTGGACGTAGACCTCCGGGAAGATGGATGGAGCCCTCCTCCAGGTCGTGAAGACAACTCTTCTAACTTGGCCACATCGATGAAGTTGCTCATGCAGGAGTTGAAGGTGATTCTGTTTGGTTCTACGGATTGGGTTCCTCGCGACCAGATGGGGCGTGACATTAGCGATCACAAAGGCAACCGAAAGTCGATTCTAGGAAGCTGCTGCCGAAGGAGAGTGGTATTTTTAACAGTAGTTATAGCTGAATGGTGTTGGAGGTGGTTCGACTTGTCTGGTTACCTCGCTCAACAGAAGAAAAACATAAACAATCAAAGCACAATCTGTAGGAGCCATGCAATATTTGTGTGTGTTTATAGATTTGTTCAAGACTTTGAAAGAAAAACGAAAACCTTTTGATACCATACCAACATATAAAAATTCTTATCATGAACCGAAACTAACATCAACTAAACTAAACATCTTCACAGCAAGCATGCGAGTTCAAAAATGACGATATTATTCCGAACTTCATTAGCACTTTTCTGAACGAGCCTTTCCGAATCCTCCTCGTAGCGGAGAGCGTCGAAGCGATCGGCTCCCGTTTCCCGTATCAAGTTTTGTTAAGAGCGCAGCGCATATTCTCAAACACCAACCTCTTGCCAGGCATATCAATCAATCAATCAATCAATCAATCAATCAATCAATCAAAGCTAGAGGCTTCACTAGCAGGACTAGCGGTAGCGACATAGTTGACGAAGAAGTTCAAATTTTTTAGTAATACACTGGTAGTAGTACTTTGTCTTCCTCTTCGAGGAAAGGCCGATATTACATCAAAGACAAATTCATCTTATCGAGCTGGGCATCCATCGATCGATTTTTGAACATTATAGCATTTATGCATCCTCTCTCGCCCTCCTCCTCGTTCCCCTGTCTAATTTAACCTTACATCATGACTTGGGTGATTGCAGAAAACTCGCAAGAAGCGGAGCAGGGTATGGCTGCTGTGTTGACCGTCCATGCCTTGATGGGACTGCCGAGTGTTTACTTCTGGAAAAAGCTGGCTTCGAAAATAGGTACCACCTCTACCTCTGGTGCTAGTGCTAGTACAACATCAACAGTTGTAACAGCTATATTAAGTAGCAGTAGAAGAGGTCTCAGCCGGTTCTTGATAAAAAATAATTGAAGAACTTTCCACTGACGATAATTGCGTCAGTTGAAAAGAAGTAGAACATACTAACACGGCACCCGTCTTCCTTAAATGGGTAACGGGAGGCAGAGCACTGCCAAACAACCACACGAAGCCACTGCGTGGCGCGAGAAAGGTGAAGGCGTCCCCCCCGTCTGTTGAGTGATGAGCTCACCCCTCCCTTCTGTTGAGGGTGGCGCGAGGTAGATGGGCGTCAGTTGAAAAGGAGTAGAACATACTAACACGACAAGAGCACTCAGTCGCAAATTACAACCAACAATCAATGTATTACTCTGCGCAGTTGGCTTAGTGGTTTAGGCGTTGGCTTGTTCACCTATCATACACTATGATCATCATCATCATCATCATCATCATCATCTTCTTTCAGGAAAATTCCGTGCCTTCTACATCGGATTGGTTTTCACTTTCCTCACGTGGATGTGGAAACCCATGTGGTACAAGTACGATGCGAAGCTGAGCTCTCTCATGTTCGAATCCGTTATCTGGGCGTTTTTTCAGTCCTCCGTCTGTCTCTTCAACTCGTTGGTGAATGAGGTACTAGTACAACTACAGCATGTACAATTTCCATACTAGCTTGTTTTTGAGCTTAGCTTTTGCATATTTAGTAGAAGTAACCAATGTATAATGAAAAGAAATCATCTTCCACCTCCTCTCAACACCAGACAATCGAATACGACGAATTCCTCTCCGGACGCCGCAGGGAAGGTCAATACACGATGATGAAAGAGTTCATCCCCAAATTTTTGGAGTTGCCAGCACAGTTTATTCCGTTCGTGTTGATGCAGGAGTTCAAGTACGACCCTACGTTGAATAAGGATGCAGATGGCAACGTCGTCAATTGCCCAAACGATGAATGCCAACCAAAAAGAGTCCTCATGTTATGCTGGATGGCCCTTTTTTAACTTGGGTTCTTGTTGTTGTTGTTGTGTTTGATGTTGTTGTGTTTGATATTGAATTTGATATTTTGAACAGCAGTGAGCCAGAACGAGAACCTGCTGCTGCTACTAAATTTCAATGGAGGACGAGGTTCATCATCCCTATTTGATCATGATAGGCAACTCTACTTATTTACCCTTTGTCCTCCTCTGGTGTATGAGTTAAACACATATTATGTAATACAACTCTAATCTGTGTCCTCCTCTGGTGTATGAGTTACATTCCCGGCGTATTCTACTTGGGCGCGGGCTTTGCGCTTTTGTGGTTCCCACTCCGAGACGAGGTTCAACACGAGAAGGTCCGCGCAGCCATGATTGACCATTCTAAGGGTTTGTTAAGGCTACCGCATTACATCCTTCACTACCAACATCCTCGGCCTTTTATTTTCGAGTCGTGGAAAATTCTAGTAATAGGTCAAGGATTAGGATGTGCCGAAGAATGTAATGCTGCAGCCTGTAAGTTTGGCAGCTGTGGATCCGGTGTATGGCCATGTCTGTGAAGCACCAGCCACCATGATGGAGAACCCAGAGTTCGACGCTGAAGATTTGGCCTTTGAGATCTATGAGAAGGAAATGGTACTACCTTCTAGGGTAGATGTCAATGTCTAGTGATGTACAATTTCTGGTAGAAGGACCTTCTAGGGTAGATGTAGATGTACATGATCCAATTTCAAGTACTCGAAAACTGAAAATAACCGAGTAAGTGACTGAAATAAAAAGGGAGGTAGGTAGGTTTGACAGGGCTAGTACTCTTCCTTGTTCAGGCTTAACTGTGCTTATCCAAGTACATGCACTTTTGACCACAGGAACTGAAACAGAAGGATCCGGAAGCGTACGCACAGCTTCAGAGCCGTGCATCACCTGAAGTGCAGAAACTGGTAGCGAGAGCCTCAACAGTCGGAACCACCAGTCGATCGATGATTAAGGCTTTTATTTAATAGATTCATGACGTTGGACTAGGTTGATTGTACTTCTTCAGAGTAGGTTGATTGTACTTCTACAGAGTAGGTTGATTGTACTACAGATTTAAATTAAGGCGTCTCAATTCATCTTACGAAGCACCTTTGAGTCCGTTTTCAAGGGAAAAACGCCTTAGGCCTGCAACTCAAGATAAATATAGGTGGTTGTACGGTCTAATTTTAGTAGTTTCATCTCTATTGCTTCTAGAAGTGTCGACGAGACTTCCTCTCTAACCTCCGTATGAAGAAGCTCCGAGATTCACGTCGTGCCAGCGTCAGCGCCCACACGATTGACCAGGCACCAGAAGAAGTAGAAGCAGCACAAAGAGTCGATACGAGTGTGGTTCGAGCATTGCCGATCTATGAAACACGATTGTTGTTCTTCTGGCCAGATGAGATCAGGGACGTGTGTATCTTACGAACGAAAAACGCAGTCAAGCATGCGAGGGGTATTAAAATGTTTGTCGCCTTGTATTCAGATGATAGAACAAGTGCTTGCTAGAGCTAGTCTGGTCATCCAATTGAATACGTCCGACCTACCCGCCGTGTGAGTCTCCGAGACAAAAACATATGCCCCAACTCCACTTGGGAGCTATATTCAATTTGTTTTTTATAGTGTGAGCGTGTGTCCGACCTTCGCCGTGTGTGCACCTCCAAATAGGAAATCTAGTCGGCGCCGTGTGTGCACCTCCAAATACGAAATCTAGACCCCAATGTGACAAGGCAACTCTCGCCAATTTTCCTTTTAGCAATGATTACCTATGCCTGACCTCACACAGATGGCTACTCATGCTCACAAAAGTGATCTTTTCAATCCATATCTCGACCAGGTCGCCGACGCTCCTTGGAAATGGGTATGGCGGATGATGAGTGGAAAGCGTCACTCGCTGAAGCCTATGGTTACGCACCATCGCGTACATTGCCTCACGACGTAGAGATCGTTCGTTTTGAAGAAACAGATGTTGGAGGAATCGATTTTGCTGGATTGTTTTTCAATTATGGCTTAGTAAGTTGACAGTGACTGTAAGTGTCCTTCCTTACTACGGTATAGTGATTACTTTAGTAAGTCGGCAGTGACTGTAAGTGTCACACGGTAATATTATTCATTAGCAGGCCCTAGAGGACGGATAGTAACCTCATTAGCAGGCCCGAGAGGACGTATAGCCCCTCGAGCCCACAACTATGCTCCCACTGAACTCTTCGCCTGAAGCAACATGAAGTTACTTCAGCTTCTGTGGTAAAATGGACAACTGAAGAACTCGTACTTCCTAAGTTGTCCATTCTATGTTATCTTAATCTTTCATCTTCCTCTAATTCTCCCCACGCAAGGGCATTCTTATTTCCGTGTGTCTTTTGATCGTTGGGTTTATGATGATTTTCGTCGATTTTGGAGCTCTCCATCCGATGCTTGCGAGCGGAACAGTCCGTCTCGTAGAAAAAAGCAGATACGAAGACGAGCAGCGTACGGGTCTAGCGCCCTTTGGTCTGGCACTAGCGGGATTTGGCATTTTATACCTCTGGTATTGAGTGCTATGAGACAGACGGTTTTGTTGCTCCTCATGAATGTGTTTTATGCTAGATTGGTCGTGAATGTGCTTCCACCTAGAAGAGGCTACAACTCCTTTCCCTCTGGTGTCCTTGTAATTCCGACGATAGATATTAAGAGTAATGCAGATGTGTCACAGGTTGAAGTAGTTCTAGTTCAAGAAGTTCATGATCTTACTTCTTGTTCGTGCTTTATTGTTGTCATGCTTAACTACTCTAATAGCTTTAGGTTTAAAACAGAATCAGAATCTACAGCAAGCTATACTTTTGAAAAATAAAGGTACAACATGCAGCGCTATGAAGCGGCAATGTCTCTGTGGTACGAATTTGTGATTCACTACGACATCTCCAAAGACGTCCGATCACGCAAGAAGACTAAGCTGGACGAGCAGCAGAAGATTGACTTGCGTGACTTGAAGAGACAAGTCTTCATGGTTCTCAACTTTATGAAAAAGATGACATAAGCAATCCGCTAGTTGTCCTCCTCTACAGAATGAGAATGCTTGCGTCGTGCTTGATAATCCTGACCTGAATACAGAATGAGAATGCTTGCGTCGTGCTTGATAGTCCTGACCTGGACCGACGCTGCAAATATTAATATGAAGAAGAACATATAATCTTCACCTTGTTCTAGAACTAGAACGATCCCAGTTAGTCCTATAGTCCCCAGGAAATCTTAATCGTCCTCTTCTAATGGTGACTACGATTCGTATACGCAGGGTAACCGAAAGCGCGGCACTGCTTGGGAACAGTTGATGAACTTCTTCGCAAAAATGCCGGTCTATTAAGGCTATATTCTAATTTATTCTAGTAGATCCATCATGCTCGTTCTCGTACTAATTTCTCGGCACTTTTCTTACGCTTAACCGTTAATATTCACGTCCTCCGTAGTACCCGTAGGATACTGATGAGCATGAACATGCTACAACACAAGTGACGCTTAACCGTTAATATTCACGTCCTCCGTAGTACCCGTAGGATACTGATGAGCATGAACATGCTACAACACAACTGGCTCTTTTCTTTCAACACGATGAGGAACAAGTCAACTTTTGAATATGCTCCTCTTCAGCACTAGGACGGATATGACCAGAATTATTGAACTAGTCATACGCAAAAGTCGAAGCTTCGCTGGCTCTCACTCTGAGGCTTCTCGTCGGATCATCGTACCTGGTGGAGGATTCCCAGCTTCGGACAGCGACAGGCAAGTGCTGCAGTCTCTTAAACTAGCCAGTTAAGATAATGCTAGATTGACAGGCCCAAACACCCTCTTTTTTCCCCAGGCTCACTCACCACTTGTTCCCAAGTCAGTGAGGCCAGGCATGATTTTGCCGCACACTTCGCCCATTTCTCCTGCGCTTTGCCGGTTCTCCCTCACCTTGCACCCAAAACCCTTCCTTTATCCTGGTATTCTGGGCCTGTCTGAATATCTAACGATCTTTAACTAGCTAGTTTAAGACTGACACTGCACTTACTTGGTACTGTCCAGAGCTCGGACGGAGGCTCCGTCGGTGCGAGAGATCCTGAAATGAGCGCCCAAAGTCGGCGTCACTGATGTTGCGTTTTTCTGCTTCTAAGTCCGTGAGGTAGAGCGAGTAATCGAGCCAAGTCCAAAGCTGAGTAGTGACTCTATCTGCAGTTCTACGCCATTGGGAGCTGCAGCTGGTGGCTTGAGTGGCAGCTTGAACATTTATGATTTAGTGAATCATCCTGGTCAGAAAGAGAATCTATATATGATATTCTTAATTTAGAAGCTGAACGAAGTAATCTGATTACTGTAATCATTACTTCAACTTCTACTAAATTAAGAGTTGTATATCAAACTACTTGTGATCGTGTAGAAGAAGTTCTTTCAGACTGCTGGTCACTTAAATCGTGGCCAATATAATATCACGATTAGCTTCTCAGCAGCATCTTCTTCTAATCTTCGGCAGTTGATGCCCCTGTCGATCCTACTCAAAGTGCGAGTCTGAGTGTGGCGAGTGGGACCAGCTTAAGTGAAGATCCGAATCCGCAAGCTGCTGACAACTTCCGCGAACGCCTCTGGTCCGCCGCTAATGAGGAAAGGGCAGTGCACGAAGCTGCTTGAAGTGGTCAAAAAGACGACGAGGAGGAGGACAGAAACAGAACATAAGACTGAGGGAGTCATACGACATACGGCAACGTCATGGCTGAGATACTTAACTAGTTCTAGGCCTAGGCTTTGGCTTCCTTCATTTCGTTTAGTTAAGCTTTACGACCTCGTATTTAGAAGCAATATTAGCAGATGATGGAAGTGGTATTCGTATAATGGTTATTTCGGTAGTAGTAGATGATGAAGTAATTCGTGTTATTGATGTAGTAGGTCGAACTAGAGCAGTTAGAACAAGTACTACCAGGTTGGTATGAACGAAGACCACAAGAAGCATAAATGTATGGATAGTGTTTGTATTCGAGAAGATAGAATATTTGCATTTTCAGTGTCGGATGGAAGGCGGAGGTAGTACCCTCAGTAAATTAAGTACAACATTATAGCTAGATGCATTTGCAGTTCGTAAAGAACAAGCTAGGTCGTGTTGATTATACAGCGACTACAGCATGTGATGTTTGAAGTAACAAGTAGTCATTTTTGGAATTTATTTTCTAGTTGCGTGGATATGCTTATGGATGGAATAGAAAAAATACGGAAACTGGGATTTATCAGCGAGATCCCAGGAGTCGTATTAGAATTAGTACTAGTCAGAAATGAATTATGATCTTCATTGTTGTCTTCGCCTTGTACGAAAATTCGATGATTCTGATTCATTCATCATGCGTCGAAATGAGTAAAACTAAAAGTATGTTGTTGAAATTTCTTGATGAAAAGAACACATGTAGTCATTCTAGGTCCAGCATGTTCTACAAAGAGACATTAGAGCGTCAAGCAGATAACCTGAATAGAGGAAAGAAAGATTCTAAAAATTGTTCACGTTGAACATCGGACGTAGAATAAACGGCTCATGCGGTGTCGGTGATGTGTGGGTCTAGTTATTAGTATATCCTCGTCAAAAATTTCTGATTATCACCTCACTACTATGGTGTGTAGATTACTTGTTATCATGATTGGGTTTTTCAGCTTCTAGTAGGAACTACGGAGGATCAAATGGGGTTTGAATCAGCGACTGTGTAGGACGACGAGAACGGACGGGATAGAACAAAATTGATGGCGTGCAGCGTGATGTGAGCAGCGGGACCAAAGCTGCGTGATGTGAGCAGCGTGATGTGAGTGCTACACCACTCTGGAAACGAAGGTTGACTGGCACTGAGAAATCGGTAAAATTCTTGCTACGCAAGACTTTGGCACTAGTAGTAGTAGATCTCAAATCTTCACATCTTTCTAAATCATGATTGCGCAAAATGCAATAAAAGAGCAGGATCTGCCCTTTTTCCGCAAAAGTTGTCTTCTCCTGCGCTCATTGTTGTTTTCCACCTTTTTTTATTTTTGGAGAAGGAATCCCCATTCCTGTCGTTCGGTGTGCAATTCATGATACCTTGACCAATGTTTGAACGAAATTACAATTCATCTGAATCAGAATCTATTCTTAAATTGCTCAACCTTAGTCCCTTTCATTCCAATTATGAACCATGACGCGCCACGTCTCCATCAAGTGATCATGAACCTGCTTTCCACTGCCGCTCGCCACGATGAAAAGAGCCACGAGTGAGGATGAACCTGCTTTCCACTGCCGCTCGCCATGAGGCTGGCCCAGCCCCACCGGTCTGGGTCCCCGATGAAAAGAGCATCTACTGTTTTCGATGTGGAGTGCGGTTTTTTATGACCACGTTGGAGGTTGTGGCGTATTCATGACGTTTTTTTGACTTTAGCAGCTTTCTGATGAGCAAGGAAAAAAGAGGGGGAATCAAAATATCAGCAGCAAAGAAGAGTTTTTTTTTAGAAGGTAGAATTAAATTAGGCTGAACTACCTCAAGGCTACTTGACCACGTGGCTTAAGAGGGCGCATGACATGACACGCAGCACGTCTCTTTTTCTCTAAGGCTCCATTCTTCACCCGAAAGCATCACTGTCGGCAATGTGGAAATATCTTTTGTAAGCGTTGCAGCGACCACCGGGTGCCCAATCTTCGTCAGGATGAGGAGTTTTCCAGGGTCTGCGAGTACTGCTTCAACACTGGAGGGCGGGGGGGGCCTCCGATCGGAGGTGGAGCGCTTGCAGGCAGATCTGGAGTGGGTGCTGGAGCATCATCTAGCTCTAGGTCTAGACTGGAAAATGATCCCAGGAGCGCAGCCAGCCGTGGAGTTGGGGACGAAAAGGGAGGTGAGAAGATAGCACCTAGTTCAAGTGGAGGCACTACCAGCGCGGCTAGGGGATCAAACCTGTTGCGGGTACCTCCAGGAGGACAACAGCGATTGAATGGCCGTAACTCATCTGCTGGAAGAAACCATGAGAGTGGTACTCTCTCGGACGACTTGCACACCAGTGGTAGCAGAGCGCGCGGTGGGGCTTCATCGGGGATGCGCAGACCTCGGGGTCAACAGTATGAGACCTCTTCGGGCAATGAGGACGATCTCCCTCTCTCTAATACGGAAGGTGGTGGGCTTAGCAGTGAGCGAGCTACAGGCAGAGCGTCTGACCGCTACAGGAATAAAGGTCCTGCAGCTACACGCATCAGTCACGGCAGGGGCATCCGATATTGGTTCTCACCAAAGAAGCGAAAAAGTAACGCACGAAACCCAAGTGACAGTGCAGCGAACGAGGCGCCGCGGGCTTTGGAGGCACTCTATCGCGCGAGACAAAGGAGGCAACCGCCTCCTTCGACTTCGACGTTGCCTGGCGCTGGACAACTCGACCAAACCCAAAATCTGTGGTCAACACGAGGCCTACAACAAAATTCGCAGGACACTGATGAAACTTATGTTAGCTTTGCGGATCAGAAGCTCTTGAACCTGGAAATCGATATCGCGGATCGTGCTAGTGACTCTTCCGATGACGATGACCTTGCGGAAGCGCTACACCGAGACGATGCAGATGAGGCACGAAGAGGTACGTTGTTCCGTGATGGACTTCTGCACTATGTCAATGGTAGACCAAGACTCTCGATGGATGGAAGTAGTGGTTTCTCCAGTGATTCAAGTACTAGCTGCAGCTCCTGCTCGGAAACAGAGACGGAGATGACAGACGTTGGAAAACAAGGAGCTGAGGCGGATCTTGTTCGCGCGAAGGGCCCCAACGAACCGCAGAAGGAGGACGTAGAAGACGCCACATTTCTCGACGCAGCGCATGCCAGTTCCGTACACGAGTCACCACCCAGTACTTGTTACCACCTCCGTAGAAAAAGCGACAGCGCGCCTGAACCACTGGCAAAGGGGACTTCGCCTGAAGAGGTGCTGAATCAGCTGCAAGCAGACAATGATGAAGCAAACACATCACGTAGCAAAGGCGCTAGAAGCCAAAGAGAGGCTTACTCAGCCCGGATTCTCGTGAACTCTGTGTACCAAAATTGTCTTGCTAGTGGTTTGCTCCAGGATGAAAGCACTGAGAAGGGAGGGAACCCGTCTACGTCCTCGTCTTCAAAAAGTAGGAGAAGACATCAAGACCGAATACGCACTCTAGTACTTGAGCTTTGTAATTTGGCCCAATCTGCAGTATCGCGAATAACGACGCTCGGTGCGTTGGCCACGGAGTCAAAACGAGTCCTGTTTCCTCCACCTAGCGACTACGAACGTCGAGCCGCCTATCGAACAGAGCGTGCGGTAGAGGCTGCTTTGCGTGGTCGAGCGGACGTATGCGAGGCACAAGCAGCTCTGAACTGGGAGGAGAACTACATCAAATGGCCTGCGCCAGCGCCTGTGCGTCAAGACGAGCAAGGGTCGAGGCCACGACGTATTTCCATGGTAATCGGCGACCCGATCGAGAGTCCTTACACGTCAATAGGTCCGCTATCTATTGGCGAGGAGCACGTCCGAGAATGCTCCCTAGCAGCGAATGACATCTTGAGCTACGTCAAAATCAAAAAGTTTTTCGATAGTCGAAGTCTCGATTTGGTAGCCGCTACTGATGCTGACGAAGTAGCTGATTGTCTTGAGGATTCTGTAATATTAGAACGGAAAAAACAAGCTAGAAGGAAAACAAGAGGAGAGATGAATTCTCGAGCAACACCCAGGAGGAACAGCATCCGAGACTCCATTCTGCTAGAAGGGTTTATAATGAGCCACGGCGCACCAACGAAGCGCATCCGCGACGCAGCTTCTTTCCCCCCGCCGGCGGATCAAGAGAAGATGCACCTCCAGGAGCCTCATAACATTCAGTTGCAGCCTTCTAGAAGCGGAGAGGACTACCTTGTTCCCCCGGGAAGCACATCCACATCCGATGGAACTTTAAAAGCTAAGACTGATCCTTCTCGTCGCGAAGCATGCCCTCACTCTGTGCTCATTCTTGGACAAGGTTCGCTTGAATTTCAGAAGGGTCTCCTGGTGAGCATGGATGTCATTCGCACCCAACAAGAGCCGCACTTTCGCACAGTAGCCGACAAAATAGCGGAGCATGGCGCAGAAATTATCGTATGCGAAGCTGGAGGCTTGGTCGCACGCGAAGTGGAAGAGAGTTTGGCTAGCAGGTTTTTACGAAGCACAAAAGGACCTCCACAACACCCTGGAAATATGGGAATCAATCGACCTATTACTCTAGGAGGTGCTGCAGGAGCTACCACTACTACAGGGACAGGTGCATCAGCTGTGACTTTTCACACCGGTAACGCTAGCGATCGCGGTAGCGAAGGCAAGCCGATCATCTTGTTGAAAGATGTGAGTTCTAAGAATGTGGAATTCATCAGTAGAATCTCTGGTGCTCCCATTCTGTCGGCTTCAAATTTCTACGCGGAACTGTGTCAACGTCCAACGTCGCAACTTCTCGGAGTCATCAACGATTTTAGAATTGTCCAAGAACCTTTTCCAAACTATAAGAGGATTCTTCAAGAGCAAGATCAAGCTTCCCCAAAAACAGCAGGCCAGAGGAGTGCACGGAGACGGGCAAGACGGCAGAAGATTGCCACACAACGAGCAGTGGATGAACAAGATGTATCTGGTAACCCGGTTTTGAAAAATGTTGGTCCATCGGAACCCAGCCGGCTTGAAAGCTACAAGTCTTTTCCGTGTCACTCTGGGGGAGCACAACCACAACTGTCGGACTCGGAGCATGAGGATTCTCCTGTGGATGAAAGTTACACTCCAGTAGCAATAAAGACAAGCACCACTGTATGGTTCTGGTATTTTTGGTATAGCCTGAATTTGATCCTAAGGGTTCTCTTCTTGTTTTCCCTTATGATCAAATTCAGGCTATACCAAATACCGGAACCATTCAACCACCATCCCACCCCGATCCTTGTGCATATTCGAAACTACGACTGGTGGCCGTGCTCCTCAAAGCAGTATGGCGTGTCGTGGTGTGACAATCTATCTGACACATCGTATCGCGGGAGAGCTTCCTGCTGTGAAGCGCGTCTTAAAATGGGCGATTCGTTGTGCCTATGCTTTGGAAGTGGAGACAAATTTTCTGGATGAGGTGGCTGGAACGCACTCTGCACCTGAGGATACGAAAAACAACCAAGAGGATCTGCGTCTCCAGCTCGAGGCAGCTTTTCCGACATCTTTGCTTCTACATAATGCCGACCGCCGACGTCAAAATACTAATCCGCAAACTCGTAGTGATAGTCTATCACAGTCAGATGTTCGAGCCACGCTTCTCGAAACGAGGCTCCTCACCGTTCTACCGAATACTACGAGTAGGGCCTTGCTTTTCAACTACACACTCACGCAGCGGTTACCTGCCGCTCTTTTCTCAGTGAGACTGGATAACTTCGAGCTAGTTGGAGATCATGACCACATCGCTCACATCGTCTTCGCAACCGAGCATTGTATCGGTAACGCAAAGTCACCACATATTTTGACGGCTCTTGAGGAAGCTGCGGCAGTTGCGGAAATGACAGGGCGAGGAATACGAACAAGAAAGGAACTTTTATCGGGAGCACCGGGTGACAACACAAAGATGAACCACTGCCACGACAATTTTTTGATGCTGCAGAATAAGAAAGACTCGTGGCGCAGTATGTTTGGTGCCACTGGAGGCTTTTATGATCTTTCTCTAGCAGAATGGCTGTTATTTGAAGTTTTTAATCCCCTAAACGCGCTTCTAGAAGATCTCGCACGAGGCGGCAGTAGTTCTACCCGTGGTAGAGAAGCAACGCTAGAACAGAACTACTTTGGCGGACGCTCTGGCTCTGGATTTGAGTCTCGAGGGAGAGGAGCTGGAGGTGGTTTTTCAGTCCAGAACGTGCAGCCGCTGCAGCCTGCTCTTTTCATGAACAACAATCATGTGCGGAATTTCTACAAGAACAGTCATCCTGGAGCAGGAGCTTTTGCACAACTTGTCCAGCAAGGAGGACAATCAACGCAGATGAACTATAATTATCGAGGAGTAGGGATGAACGCGTCTGGGTCCTCTTTCTCCTCAAACTCTTCAATGCGAGGTAGTGGAGGTCGTGGACAGAACAATTTTTACAGTGTCATAGGAGGAGGTGGCGCGGACTGCGATACAGGAACGATTGGAGAAGAAAACGAAGATGACGTTTTATTGCCTGTCCATGACGAGCAGGGACGATTCTTCTTCATCCCACGACAGGGATTTCTGCCGAAAATGATGCCGATTGTCGAAACTGGAAGATCATCGTTGAAGAGGACGACGCAACAAGAGATGAATAGACCAGACACCTGCGACTTATGGCCCCGGGTGGGTGTCCTACGCCAAGGCCGCGCACTCCTCAGGCCAGCATTGAAGCGATCACTCGTGATCCAACACGGAGAATCCAGAATTTGCGTGACAGCGAGTGAGTATGACCCCAACAAGCTGAATAACGTTGTCGAAGATAACGTTGAACGTGGCAGTGGAACGCCTACTGAAAATATTGCATGGTGGCAGCACTGTAGTGCGTGTAAGCGCATGATTACGCCAAAACGGTACTTGTCACAAGCTGCTGCAAAGTTGCCGTTTGGCCATTTTGTCAGGTTTTTCATGGATGCAGGAGAAGGATATGCTTCAGTACCATTTGCTGCTGCGAGAAAGATCTTCGGAACCAGATGTACGCCTGCGCCTACAGCAGGACATCCTAGTACTCCTAGTACTCCAGAATCCGTAAAAACGAGGCAGTCGTGTCCTCATAATCCGTTTTTGCACCATTCGTTCTGCTTCGCTCGGAAGCGAATCATGGTCAAGCTCGAACACGCGCCAGCGACTACGTACACCCTCTCACGACAACCCGCTAGCTTCCTAGCTGACGATTTGCCGAAGGAGAGAGCCCCAGTTCCAAGGTCGCAGCCAGTGGCTGACTGTCAGCCACAGAGGAAGACGGATACAGATGAGAAAGCGCAAGCCTCAGATGACGCTGAAGCACAACCGCCTGTCATCACGAAACCGTCTGAAGAAACCGCCGACGAGCTGCAGACCGACAAGGATGAGAAACAGAATGGGAGTAGTGATCATGACACAATAAACAATGGGGGTAGTTGTAGTGATAACTACACAAAAAACATTGCAGAATCGTTGCAACTCGAGGAGGGCCAGCAATCAAAAGAAAGCGTGAAGGAAGGACCCACGGGGAAAGATGAGGTTGGAGAGGAAAGCAATGTCAATGTTGAAAATGCTGAGAACGAAAATACCGAGCTGGCAGCGAACAAGGAAGCAGGCCGTGATGTTGCGCCAGTCGAACAGCCAGACGGGGATTTATTTCGAGATGCAGCATTGCCTCCAGGTTCTCACACAGTTACACAAGATGAGAAATCAACTGCTCCGCAAGTGGATGAAGGTAGTCCTGTTGATGCCGATATTACCGCAGATGAATCCGTCACTTTCCTCGCAGCTGCAGCAGAACCAGTAGCCGCTTCAACAAGCATTACGACAATTACTTCTGCCATAGGAAAGCAGACTCTTGGCGGAATCGGTCCTATAACCGTGAACGGCTTGGAACTTGCGGTTGATGACTTGTCTGAAGATTTGCAAGGGAGATTAAACAAACGCTACGAGCAAGAGGACTGGGGTAGTATCGTTGCAACTGCCTTGTTGAGTCGTACTATTTTTCAAAAGTATGCGGAATCTGCGTCCTCCAGTTCAGATGAAAGGATCAAGTTTGTTGTGGGAACGAAACCAACAAGCAAATCTTCAGTATCTAGGAATACTTCTGTAGGAGGCCCAGGAGGAAATGCCAATGGGCAACAAGTTGAGAGTCTTTCTCACGCCTCAGACAAGTTCTATCCTGATGCGCGTAATGGCGATCGGTGTTACGATGTACCTTGGCAGTGTCCGCTTGTGGAGAGTTTGGGAACTCTTTCGCACTCAAAGGCGACAACCAAAGCAAGTGCTTTATTTGCATGTTGTTTGCACTTGCATCGACAGCAAAGATATTTCGTAGTTGATGCTCCTAATTCTGCTGGTGAATCTCCAAGCGGAAAAAGCAGAGGCGCATCTCTTAAACTGCCAACATCGACTGCGCTTTTGACGCCGGCGACTGCAGAGGTTCAGCCGGCTTTGCAGCGGGGGCCTATGAGTACGTGCATGTCGATAGATGAATACGTCGATTCTTTCGACGCTGAGGACGAAAATTTCGAGGAAGAGGAACTGGAAACCTGGAGAAAACGACCGAAGCAAAAGCGTCGCGACGACCCTTTCTTGGAACAATCCAGGACGCCTGTGTACGAAAGAAGTGTTTGGGCTGAGCATTGTCGTAGTGCTTATTTTCATCAAATCGCTCAGACAGCAGAGAAACGGCGTCTCGCTGGTCCGTCCTGGCAAGAAGCGCTCCTTAAAGTGGAGTGGTCTAATTCAGACGGCCATAATTTCGAGGTCGTTTGTTACCACGCTTTGAGTTTTCATCTCTTACGACATTACCTGTGTGGGTCGGACCGGGAATTCGCGGAAAGCCTGAGTAAATGCGATCGGCTCAGCGTCACGGGAGGTAAGAGCAAAGCAGCGTTTCTGGTCACGCACGACTCGAGGTATTTGTTGAAAGAGATGAACAGACAAGAAACCAAATGGATAGAAACGCAGGGCGACCATTTAATGTGGTACTTCTCGAAAACGCTTTTTCTGATTGAGGAGAAGGAGCATCAAGCCTTCAATGCGAATGCTGGCACTAAAATCACTAGTGGCGGCGAATCCGTTGGTAGTACTGCAACAACCTCTTCGACCAGAAGCGCCTCGACGGCCCCAAAAATAAATAGTCACCCACGGACGAGAAGCGGGTTCTTTAGTGTCGCAACAACTAGTATGAATGCCAGGTCTAGGATGAACAATCGTGTTGACAGTGAAAAGAAGAGGCTCTCTTTTCACCGATCAAAATCGTCCTCAGCGACATTGCCTGTGCCTCGAAGTGGCCGCCTAGTTCGTCGCACATCTGCATCAGACGAAGAGGGGAAGGGAACATCGTTTCGCAAGATGAGAGTTTCAGGAGATGGAGAGAACAATGATCATGCTCACAAAACAAGTGTATCTCCTCCTCCAAAAAGTCGTGCATCCGCGTCGACAACTACATCGTCCAAGCAAGGACATCGACATAACAGGCAAGTCGACGACGACCAGGGTCCTGGAGATCATGATCGTACTCCACAAAGACAGAAACGTAGAAGACCTCCTCTCCAAACCCATCCGACCCTTTTGACGCAGATATACGGCGTCTTTCAGGTCGCTCAATCTCATCCGAAGAGAAGTCGGCGGTACTTCATGATACTAAAAAATCTGCGGTACAGAGGAGAGAAAAATGAAGCTGCAACAAACTCAACCGTTGAGGAAGCGATAATATCAAAGCAGGAGAACCAAGAACAAGATGATCCTACGTTTGCAGAGGACCCACTAGATTTGATCTGGAAGACGGAGAGCTTGTTAGCTTTCGATCTCAAGGGTGTGGGGAAAAACCGTCGTCTCGATGTCCTCGCAACAGACGCAGGGCTACCTTTGAGTCCAACTGCTGGAAGTAGCACGATAGATTCAGGAGCTACGGTAGGTCCTAATCTAGGAGGTCCTAGTCTAGGAGTAGGTGGTCTTCTAACATCAGCTGCGATGATTTCTTAAGGGTTACCGCATTGCATTCACATTCTTCACTACCATCCTTGGCTTTTTTTCCAGTAGGAAAAGTAAGGGTCAGGGATGATCTGAAGAGTGCAATGTTGCAACCTCTAAGTTTCTGCCTTATCAGAGACGAACCCACAGCCTAGTAAGCCTCGCGGACGCACGCTGTGGGACCAAAATTTCAGAGAGTGGATCAAAGGAATGCCGATTTGTCTGCGCAAACACGACATGGATTATCTACAGCGCGCTTTGTGGAATGACACTTGGTTCTTGTTGAAGATGCAACTCATGGATTACTCTCTCCTACTGCTCATCGGCAGAGAGTCACGCCGCATTCAAATGGGTCTGATAGACTACGTCCGACCCTACACGCTTGATAAGCAGGTGGAAAGCATGGTGAAGATGGCTGTTTTTATGGACCAGAAATAGTCTTCATCTTCTGAACTACGTTTTTTAACAGCTACCACTACAGAATCTTCAGAAGATGAAATAAGAAGAAATAGATGATCAGCATCCGCATCAGCTCGAAGTTGTAGTTGCACAGGAGCAAGTTTCAATTTTTCTTTTAGAACTAATATACCCAACCCCGTCTTCATATCTGCTTATCCGCAAGGGCTGACGCCGTCTGTAATAGATCCGCAGCATTATGCGGAACGCTTGCTCAAAATGATTCAGAAGTCTTTCATGCAGAGACTTCCTGATTTTGATGTGGTCCATTTGCCTGCCTGAAGTAGACTTTCTGACTTTGATGTGGTACATTTGCGTGCTTCAAGCCTTGCATGTCATGACGGTCATTTGCCTGAGAATACCAGAAAATTTCAACTACTCGTTCATATTTGTACAATGTCACAACCAAATTGATATTGATCAGAAGATGAGACTATCCTTGCAGCATTCTTTCAGACAGATTAGTCCAATATAACAGCACGACGACTATGTGTATGTCAGTACATAAGATCATGAATGCCGAACAAGACGACTCAAAATATCACTCTAAGAGTGGCTGCGTGTTTAAAAGTCCATGACATGACAGAGATCTACTTGATGTTGAAGACGCAAACGGAAACGTGATCTTGATCTCTGTAAGAAAGCGAACGAGGATCCTCTAGCTCTACACTGGTCAAAAATGAGTAACAAGATCACAAAGCAAGTCAAAGATCAAAATGTTTAACAAGATCGGAGTTCACCTTTTTCCTTCCTTTCTTCATTCAACAACACAAGGATCAAAAACTAACTAAGGTTCAGGTTCACAAAAAAAAACGGATCAAAACGAGTTCACTCCCTTACATCAGTCATTGATCACCCTGATGTTCGTCATCGACTTTGATCTCGACTAACTCTCTCTGCAGCGCCAAATGGAGGAGGATTCTTGATACTGATTTTTCACGCGACTTTTTGAAACTATTCCTTTTTGGAGGTCCCGCATGACGTAGATGTAGATGTATGACAAAGCAAACATTGAAGCGACACCACATTGAAACTCGATTTGTTTTTCTTTTTACAAGCGACGGACTTTAACTTCCGAGACCTAGTAGTACGATCAACACCTACTTCGCATCAACTTCATCGATCATAATCTGAAGAACATTCCCCATCAAATAACGACAAAAGATGGACGTCGAAAGTGAGACCATTGTGGCGACATGGAATGGTGAGATTCCTGTTGGGGTTACGGAGTTCGTGACTCCTGCTATTCAGGTTGTCAGCTCCTCAACATTCTCGCCTTCTAGTAGCATAGGATCAGCTACAACGCGAGCATCTTCATCTTCAAGCACTGGAGGTCGTCTGTTGCCTGAAGTTGATGGTTCACCAGCACGTGAAGCTGATGTGGAGGGCGGAGTCAATGCTGATAATGAGAAAGTAGATGGCGGCGACAACGAGAACGACAAGGCAGTGAAGGTTGGTCACGTGGTAGATGAGGGAAGTGCTGCCTTCTGCAAACCCGACGAGTGCTGTGTCTGTGCATTACGGGCTGCTAGGAAAAAGGAAGCCAAACAATCTGAAAATGAAGATGATGCAGATGCTCTTTGTAGTACTGAGGCACCTGCTGAACAAGGCTCGAACCTGGAAGACAAGAAGAGTGGAGAAAGCGGCACTCGTCCAACTACGCGCCCAACGAAATACAGTTGTCCAGGTTGCAAGAGACGGACCTGTTCTCTAGCCTGTTCCGTTGCACACAAAAATTACTTCCACTGTTCTGGAAAGCGCGTGCGCTTTGATGCATCTGCCTCGACGGTTCCGCAGATGAACGATACGACAATCCTGAACGACTACAAGTTTCTTGACAGCATAAACGAGGAGCTTGATAGGGATGCGCGAAATAAAGAGGCGCTGGATGCAGTCTTGAGTTTGCAGCAGCCAACGATGAGTACTTCTATAGATCTTAGACTCTTGCTTCTACTATCTTAATCTTTCTTTCCTCACTGTAGTAACTAACTTGTGACCTCCTAGAATCACTGTCCCCACTTCTTTTTCTTTTCGTCAACCACAACCGTGATATAAGTAACTGCTACTGCTTACCCTACCATTAAGCTACAGCGTAAGCCTTTGTTCCTCAATCAAAGATCATTGAAACTCACCAGGCTTTATCATCTTCAACATCCGCCAGGTAAACGCGCCAAAAACAAAAAGAAAAAGAAAGAGCGCACGAACAAGATGCTGCGAGACCAAGGTTTGGTTTTAGAAGCGCGTAAAAGACGGACGCGTCTACTCCTAGCCGATATCGGGTTAGAATGCGCACGACAAAATACCAGTTATTGCGATCGAGACACTAACAAGATTCACTGGCGCTTAGAATGGTCGTTTTTTGGACCTAAAGAACGAAAAGAGCTCTATGTGGACGATCCTATCTGCGAGGACGTAGCGATTGTAGACCTCCTGGCACGATTCTTAGGAGAAAAAATTTTAGAACCTGAAAAAGATGGAGGTGTTGCAGATGCTGACGGTGATGCTGAAGCAGTAGACAGTCCCGCTGCAAAGAGACGTCGTACTGACTCTTCTGGTAGCTCTGACTCAAAGCCACCTCCAGCTGGTGACGAAGAGAATGAGCAGGACGATGTGTCTCGTTTTTTTGCCGCTATTGCTGACGGCAAAGTGAGGGTATATCTCCGAGACAAGTTTCCTTTCGCGAATCCGAATGTGAACAAATGGAACGCTTTGAATCGGGAAGTTTCTCTTGTGGAGATCCCTCTCTTTAGAAAAAACGACGATGAAGGAGAGGAGCACACTGGCGGTGCGCCAGGAGCTGAGGGTCGTGAAGCGGTTAAAGTAGATACGAGTGAGGAGGTGGATATCAACATCAAGAAGGAACCAGCAGCAGCTACGGGAACAGCTACGGGAGCAGCTGCCTCATCTGGAGACAACAAGCCGAAAGACAACAATGTACTAAATGGAATGCGGGCCACAACCCTGAAAGAAGCGCTACAGGGTCGAGAGGTTGCCGAATATCCACGTTTTCTTGTCACCAGTGAAAAGCATAAGCAGGAATGGCCGTTGTTTACGCTGTTGAGCACGAAGAAAGCCGATTTTCGTGGTGGCTTCCAAGTAGGCGACATCGTTGTCGCACAGCGTGAAATTCTCTATCATCCTGCTGCACCCGGCGGAAGAGATGACGAGGATGATGATGAAGATCAAGACGAAGAGAACGTGAAAACTAGAGAAAGAAACGATCAAGAGGAATTACTTTCACAGCCGGGTCCTTCCGGACAGCAGCGTTTGATTCCAGAGGGGACGGAAGGTAAAATCGAAGACCTAGATGACGAAGGCCACTGGATTGACTGGATTGACGTTCCAGGTTTTGATGACTTGGTTCTGATGGACCCGCAAACCGTGAAGAGAAAGGTCATCAAGGTGGGAGATGGAGGATCAGGACAAAGCTCATCGAATAAAGGCTATGGAAAAGGCATGAATAACGGTAAAGGCGGAAAGACGGGTGGCAAGGGCATGGACAAAAACGGTAAAGGCTCTGGCAAGGGCAAAGGTGGAAAAGGAAAAGGCGGCAAAGGAGGCAAGAACAAAGACAACTTCTCATTTGGAACGGCAAATGGGGCTTCTGGTGGTAATCCTAACAGTGTCGTTCTAGGAGATCGAGTAGACCTAGGCGCGGACTCCCAGCATCAACATTATCAACAAGGCAAGGATCAAAGTGGCAAAGCTTCTGGGAAGAAAGGCAAAAAGGGAGGTAAAGACAAGATGAACAGTGGTAAGAAAGGAGGTGGAGGAAAAGACAAAGATGGCACTAGCAATAACACTGGTAAAGGTGGAGCTGCTAGTACGACAAGTTCTAGCTGTGCGGGTCCTCTGGCAGCGTCTTTCCAGCAGACTTTCAATAGCAGTACAGCTGGAAAAAACAGAGGATCACTATATGGCAGCCAGGACCATACTAGCCACTACAACTCTCATTCAGGTGGTGGTGGTGCGTCTGGGGATTACAATAGTACCATGGCTGCTGGATCCGGATCAAGATCAGGGGGTTCTGCATCTTCGTCATCACCATCCTTTCAGCCAGGTGCGTCTTCAATGACGGCTTCTACGGCTACTAGCAAAAGTTGGATGATTCCCACAAGCAGTACATCCTCAACGTCCATGTTGAATAGCAGCAGTTATAACATGTTGAACGCTGGTGCTACTTCTACTAGTAGCAGTGCTGGGAGTTCATCTTCGATGAACAACAATTACAATAGCTATAATCCGACTAGTAGCAGTGCTGGAAGTTCATCAATGAACAACAATTACAATAGCTACAACAATTCGACCCCATCTTCAACTTCATTAGGCTTTGCTTTTCCGACAACATCGTCTTACAATCAGCAAAACTACAACCAACAGTTAACATCTTCTAATGCAGGTGGCTACCACAGTCAATATCAAAACCACGAGAATCATTACCAGAGCCAAATGTACAACGGCAACACGACCATGCCCCAACAACAGCAGGGAAATTCACAAGTAAAACTGATGCAAGCAATATTGCAAGACCCTAATTTAAAGAACAACCCAGTTCTAATGCAGCAGATGATGAGTGCGGTGCTTAACATGCAGAATCAATAACTCCTAATTTTTAGAATTTCTTCACATAGTCCTCAACGGACAGCAACATGTTATTGTACACACTCAACACTTGGAAACTAGACCTCACAATATTTTCGGATTCCAACATTTGAGTTTGACGCTGTAAGCTCAATAACGACCTTAGTCAACATGTCACTACCAAAGTGCTACTGCTCAGTGCGCATAACTGTTTTTCTTGTGTTCCTACAGCGAAAGAAGACTATTAATATCGGTACCATGTGCATCTTATGTCCTCTGAGCATTTGTATTAGAAGAGAGCGGAAGGAGACGAAGTGGAGCGAGGCAGAAGAAGAGCGACATAACGTGATTAATTTTAATGGTATGTAAGTTACCGTTACAACTAGAACATCACCATTGAGAAATTAGCAATCTCTTAGTATTAAGGCTAGAAATCCTTAAAGTAGCCTAGAAGTCTGTCCTGTCATCTTCACTAAAAAAGTAAGTAATCATTTCCTTATTCTCAGCAAGCCAAGTCTTGTTGTTCAAAAAAATTCTTGCCCTGGCGCATGTCTGGTCAGATTGAAACATAGAAAAGAAAAAAATTGCCATTCTGTATCTTATTACCCGAAACGATGTTACATTATCTCCGGTATTGATTTCTGCAAAACACAATTATGCACCAAAGAAACAGAACGAGAACTGGTGCGATAAAGCAACTGATTGACACGCTAAATCGGAGGACTCCGATCAACGTCGTATGACTAAATTGCAAATCGCTTCATATTTAGCACTAGTATAGTTTGTCAAAGGTATATTTTTTTCGTATTGAATGAAATGGAAATCGATTTATCGTGGCGTGACCGTGATACATATTGTGGTAATAGAAAATGATGGCAAAGTCAGAGCAAAAAAATCCTCTCCCAACATCATACTCATAGTTTGATCACTACAAGAAGCTGTTCTTCGAAGACCTAAGGTGGGCATATTTTCCGTTGTTGAAATTACACTGGGGAACTACTAGCACTAGGTGGGGTGATATTATCTTTATCAAATATCATGTAGCTTACGACTCCTTTCTTGCTCGCCCTTGAGAATATGAAAATGATGCATGTGCCATGTTCGGCTGCTTGACAAACAATCCGTGTAGCATGATACACTGTGTGATGTTAAGTGGTTGTGAATCAAAATCATCATGAAGAAGGACGAATGGATAGCCACAACAGCAGGCAGTTGTGCCTATGCGATGATGATGTTGATGATGATATCGCCCGCTCCCGTTGTGTAGCTGTAACCGCCTCAGCAGTGTCAACGAAGTCGCTCGCAATAGCTGGCCGCATAGAACAAGTAAAAAAAATGCGTCACGCTTAGAAACTACAACTAGGTAGAAGAGTGTGAACGACCAATATGATCATAGATGTTCGCCGCGATGAGCACATCAGCAGTACCAGAGCATCTTCAACCTGCTCCTTCCAGCTTTTTTGGTTGTTACCTGCTGAACTCGGAGTCGCAGCCTCGAAGAAGCTATGTCGGTTTTACTGTGGACCCTAGGAAACGGATTCGACAGCATAACGGCGAAATCCTTGGAGGGGCACGAAGAACACAGCGTGGCGATGGACGCCCGTGGCGTATGGTTCTCGTTTTAAGGCACGGATATTATCATTCTACTTACTTAACTCATCTAGATTTGATCGTGATGCAGCAGCCTTACCTTCTTCGTGTCATGGTCTCCTTCTTATCGTCCCTTTTGTTCTCCTTTTCAGGTATGGCACAGCTTCAAGTTCACCTAGTTCGCGGTGGTATTCAGACACCTCCGTGGGCGCATTTGAAAATTAGAGATGAGAAATTTTTAGAAAAGGCCGCGCTCTGCCTCCTTATTCGTCTATCAACTCCTGTACTAGTTCCCCACAGGTAGAAGCACTACCAAATGCTAGAAGTATCTATGTATAGTGATGATGATGAAGACACGACACCATTAATTTCCGTCTGGGGTTTTCCGAATAAAGTGGCAGCCTTACAATTCGAATGGGCATGGCAAAACCCGCATCTTAGTCGGAGCGCAAAAGAGGCCATCGAAGGTAGTAAGCTGTCCTGGGACGCACACGTAGTGGATACGAAACTATATCCACCAACCTTGTTGAAAAGACTGAATTTAGGATTAGAAGAAATTCGCGTTCATCTACAAGCTTAAGTACAAGAATAGAACTTGAACGTTTATTTGACAAGTGGAAATAGACGTTCTATGCTGTAAGTACAAGGACATGAGAAAACGCCGTCGACCTAGACTTCCAAGAATTCGAGCCAAGAATTCGAGATAATTTTAATTATCCTCGTTTTCAATATCAATGTAGTTGACTGATGATCATGATTCAACCGATGTGCTACTTCTGCTCTAAGAAACCCTGCTAGAACAACGCGGCGACGACCTTTTTTATCGAATGAAGAGCATATTGAGGTCATGCGCCTCTTGCTGCGTGCGGAGCCGTATCGACGCATGGCTCTCAATGTGCACTTTCTTTTAAGGCGTAGGAAATAGTCAAGGCGTAGGAAACGTAAAGGAGTAGGTTTCAGTTTGCGAAAAGTCATTAGGAGGTAGAGTAGGAATATTTAAATCCCTATGCAAACGCCACGACTACATCATGAACTTTCTCGATGAGTGAATGTAAAGGCACCGCACCGTTCAAATACTCACGCTCATGCGCAGTCTAGGGTACCATCGCAGCTTTTCCGTCTTCAGGAGTTGATTGGAAGACTACAACCCCAGCACTCCGCCCCTACTACAAGTGCATCTGGTGCGTCTTCTGAACATCATGCACCTGGAGTAGGAGCACTTGGTTCTACCTCCTCGTCCAGAGACCTGACGTCAGGGCCAACAAGAACTTCCTTGGCCCTTCCGAATCACAACGTGACGGCAGAAGTGGCTATCGCTCCACACGGTTTGCGTGGTAAATTGACTCTGCAACAATTTATTGCTATTGGCTCTGAAGACAATAACAAGTCAGCTGTTGTTGATAGAGATCGAGTACCTCTTCCACAGCACATGCGCCTTACAAAGGGGTCGATGGAAGATTTGGAGCAGGAAGTACATAACAAAATTTAAGGCTGCTTACTTTTTTTGACGTGCTGTTTACATATTAGTCATAGAAGCATGTATGATAAATATATGATAGATGGTGTGTCAAGAAATTGACCTCTTTTAAGGTGTATCCTGGTGCCCCCCGACCTCTAGCTTCTAAGATATCAATGGTCCTCGAAATGGTGAACCAGGAGCTTCTTCAGCGTGCGCTTTCTGTGGAGATAATGTTGCGCAGGCAGTAGGACTTTTAAGAATCTTCTTGCGGACTACGTGCTTGTTCTCAATTATCTTCTTCTTGTGGCACCATCCTCATGTCTTCTACTTCTGAGGATCTCTACGTTCTCTGCTATAACTACTCTAAAAATCGTTCAAGAAGTCCAGGAGCAGGAGGAGTCCTCGGCCTCTCGTCCTGCTGGGGTCTTTGACTCCACCATTCCTGCATGGAAAGGACGGCCAATAAGCTGTTTGAACTGTGGAGCAGTGTTTCACTTGCGCTGTCTCGCTGAGCACTTTTTACAGAACGGTACTACCTCTGGCGAAGAGCAGCTCGTACCAAGCAGGCCTGCTTCATTTAAGAGTCTTCGTTTCTTCAAGTAGTACGCACTTGAGATACATGTAGTAGACTGAGACTTCTGACTGCCTGTTGCACTAAGAGGAGTCTCCAATACAAGAAGGATCCTTGTTCTACTTAGCACGATTCATTCCGTTTCATTTTGAGGCTTGCTCTCTCCTTACTAATCAACTAGGTATTTTTTCCTGGCTTACCAGGAGTTAGCACAAAAAATACATGCTTACCAGGAGTTCGTACAACCTCTAATATGCTTGTTCTGTTGACGTCTCTCTAACATGCGCACTCGCTGTGGTCATTCCTTTATGTGGACTGAGCTTCTGCGGACGTGTCCTCGAGAAGAGGAAGAGTCTGAAGGGGAAGAAGATCTTGAGAATTATGAGGTCCTGGACGTGGACGACTTGGAAGATGATGGAGCATAGAAATCCACGCTCGACTTCTTGGCATAGAATCCTTACGGAAGTGGACGACTTGGAAGATGGAAAAATTCCATTATTTTTATTCGCTCTAAAAGTACTTAAAAAGGTATGTTGGATAAAGTGGAGGACGGCTTGGAAGATGGAGTTGGTGAAAATGACTGAGGACGGCGAATGCAGGAGATCATTACTTGAGAGCTCATTATCTCATCTGCGGATGGCGGTGCTGGAGGTCGAGGTGAAAGGTGATGAGTCAGTGATAATGAACAAAAACATCGATGTTCCCACTGCTTTTAATCTGGTGTTTCATTCCTACTGCTACCATGGTCTTCGTTCTACGCTGTTCATCATCCATACAAAGAAGATCCTAGCCAAAAGATCAACAGGAAACAAAAATAGAAGAAGAAAAGATCAACAGAGAGCGAGCGACCACTAGCAAAAGAGCAAAAGATCAACAGCAGAAGATGGATACCACAAGATCAACATAAAAAGATCGCCGGATCAGTACCGATAAAATGAAAGGTCACTGATTGACGCTCTTATCGCAGTGAAAACATATGTACGTACAAAGTCGAATATACATCAGAAACATAAGGTCAACAATGTCAAAACTTTTCAACATCCAAACTGTAGGCTAAGAAGCAGAAAGGCAGTCGAGGAAGTCGTTGCTTTTGACAAAAGGGTAGCAAGGCCAAAGCAATCAGTCATACTCAGATTTTTATCGAATCCCTGAAACGGTTTTTTATCCGTTGAAAAACTCAAGCTCAGCCAGGCTCTCAGCTTGTAACAGTTACAATCAAAAAGAAAAATGTTGCCTCCTACAACGAACGTCTTTGGCGCTTTGGCCATTTTATCGGGGTCTCTACAGGCTCTCGGAGTAGATGTGACGTTCCAGCATCGTGTCGGCCATCCAGTCCACCCTCAATCTAATTTCATCTCTCGCATTTTGGAACATGATGTGCTGAAACTCTTCACGTCCGAAGACACCGCCAAAAAGTTCCTTTTGGATGGCGTTTCCGGCAATTTTGGCCGCGAGTTACGTGAGCACGTGGAGAAAGCACAGCAGGCGTTTCAGGCATGGAAGGATGGACAACACGGACTTTTCCGCACGACAGTAGATGAAGTCACAGGAAGAACGCCCGACATTTTGTTCTCCCGCACTGACTTTGGTGAAGAAAGATTCGAGTCAACCCACCTCGTCCGCGCAAACCCGGTCGTAAATCCCGATTTAAACATGGACGTAAACGACCGTGATGCATTCGCGCACCGGATGGGGGCCTATCTCGCGTCTCAGCTGCTGAAGAAATTCGATTTAGTTGATGACAAATTGTCTCCTCGAGCAAAGGTGCATCCCGCCGCTCCACGTAGCGCGGAGGATAATGACGACTCTGTCTCTAAGGCGGATTACAGTGGTGGACCTTTTGTGCCGACGTTCTTCAAAGATTTGCCAGCGCGGCTATTTTCACCGGCGACAGAGGAGCAAGACCCGTTGCTCGCTGATGCGATTATGGCAACGCAGCCTCCGGATGCATGCATCGCTGACACCCTCAACCAAGGCATATTGTTGGACCGCCTTGGTGCCGACGGCACAACCGTGGAAGTCGTGAATAATGGAAAAACAGACCCAGAGTATTATCAAGGTCCGCCCGAACACTCCCGCGGCACGAATGTTGAGCACCGGAATGGCAAACCAACCGCGACCGACGCCGAGATTCTGAAGGCAACCCAGGACAAGATTGCGCAGCTCGCGCTGGCGGACGCGTGGACGCTGGACACGATCGCCGCAACCTTCGTTGGGATTCACTCTCTCGACTTCGTAAACCAGCCGCCGATGGAGCGACGGAACAAGTTGCAGTTCGTCGTGGAGTACAAAGCGAGGGACAACTCGGAGTTCACGGCAGCAGAGTTGGCTGAGATGGCGGGCGAGCGGGAAGCGACGGCGGCACAGTGGCCGGGAATTTCGGAGGCCGAGCTGGAAGAGGAGGTAGAGAGACCGTTCTTAGCGGCGAAAAACTGGAAGCTCGAACTTAAGTTTGAATTGCAAACGTTCTGTGACGAAGTCGGCAACCTATCCGCGGAGGAGCGCACGGAAGAAGTAGAAAATGCCATCCGGGACGGTCAAGACGAGGAGTCGTTTCAGTGCGTGCCTCGCGTGCGAGTGAACTACGTCGAGGTGGAGCTGATGTCTCGCGCCGTGATGGACCGCAATGTTAAAGGCCACGGCGAGTTTCTGTTCGTCTTCCATCGTCCGGGCGAGCGGATGAACGAAGCAGCCGGGATGCCGAGGGGCGCCTTGCGGCGCCGGGACGCGTGGAGATTTAACTTAGCTCATTTGCTATAAAGCATTTGCACCTGCATCGAAGAGAGTTGGAGCCGACTTGCAAAATATTGAGCATTATCGTGCATATGAAAACACTCGCGCTAAGTACCCCGGCGGGCCGGTACTTTGGCAAAGACAAAAGTAATGACTTTGTACTCGGTGTGCAGCGGATTTTGAGAACTCTAAACAAAATAGAAATTGATCACTTCCCTGCCGTAACACTGCCGAAAAAGGTGTTGCCATCTTGTTGCCTAGCTGATCTCGTTTTCCTTGCTTTCTGATCTTCTTCTAGTATCGTGATCCTGGGTTAATGTCATCGGAAAACCATACTGAGAATGCACTAGCAGAAGACTTGCGCAGCTGTGCAGGCAGGTAAAACTAATAGACAACACTGGAAGCACGTAGCGCGTGTCTAACTTTCTAGCTTTTGATAACTATCCTTTTTCGTGTGTTCGCCCTTGCGTGGTTTATATGATGCGATGATGTTTCGTCGCAGGAGAAGTATTTCGTCCAAGGCTCACCGAGGTGGAGGGCGAATTGAGTTGCTTGAGTTGCGAAGAGGTCCCGAGAACAATAAAGGAAAGATGAGCGCCATTACGTCTAAAATCTGATAGACATTATAGATGAATCTAAGAAAATAGAACCATCGCAAAGACGAGAATAGTGTTCTTCGCAAAGAAAACTCACAAGGAAATCTTCATGAAGGTAAGACAAGGAATAGGGACGCCGTATAGATTCCTGTCTATTTTTCGCAGAAACTACCGTGGATTCTGACAGCGTATAACCTTAACCTCCCCATAAAGAAAAATGGGTTAAACACAACTGACACTGCTACTACTGATATCAGATTATTATATCTTATTTCCTTGCAGAAGTCTGAGACACAATTGCAAAGTGGACGAAGCGTGTTCAGTTTTCATCTACGGCATATTCAGCAGTCGTTCTTCTGTATGTTCCCGATCGGTTTTGGTGCTTACTGGAGAAGGTTCGGTCCATCCCCATCGTCTTCGTAGGGAGAACAGAGAATATTGTCATCGCAAAATCAAGTCGGGCGTAATGCAAGGATCGCAGAAGAGGACAACTCAAACTCTCGTACGACCCTTCACTTAGAACCCTCGCGCCTCTAACCTGAATCTGAATGGTACAACTAATTACAACTGGTGTAGCACTTATAGTTATACCCCACCCCCACGATTGGGCACACCAGTAGTGCTACTTACTTACGTGATCATGTCCCCTCACCCACGTCCTCGTCATCTACTGCTTGTGTCTAAAAACAAATATAGCTGTAACGCAGTACAGATACACTTGTATGTACATACTAAATCATAATCATGATCCGTGCTGGCTACTTTCGGTTATACTTGGTAGACTATCACTCGGTCAAATTGCTCTTCTTTTTAGAAGGTACAACTCGACTGAAAGGCCTCAAAACTACTTGGCCACGTAGTTAACGAGGGCACATGCCATGACGTGACATCAACATCTGCAAGGACTACATCAACTTATTCGCTTCTTATTCTAAGCCTATAATGTACTCTCACAAACAAAACACGTCACATCATTACTGACCACTAGACGTGGTGAGGCAAGCAATAGGATTCGCTATCGCGTCTCCGTCTGCTTTTCTTCACATAATTTTTGAAGGATCATGACCTCTACTAGCGGCCAGCGAGGACTAGCGGAAGTGTACTTAGGTGATAGGACGGTAAATTCAACATTATAAAGTGTCTGGGTCTCTTGAGTGACCGCCTGGTCGTGAGCCGAATTCTGTAGCGTAACTCACTTAGTACCCTTCCTCCACGAATAAGCAAAATGGAGTATTACGCAGACAGTCCCCGCTTTGTGCGGAAACGGTTTCATGCGGAGCAGGAAGTCCTCACGCATATACAGCACTCAGACACATGCCTGTGTCTCAAATTTAAGGACGATGCAGATATATTTACTCACTTCGACACGCACACGCACACGCACTGGCACAGGCTTTAGTACATCATCATCATGGTTAATCAAATAAATATCAACGACAACTGCTACTGCGAGACAATAATTCCATGGGAATTCTATTTACACTCATGACGTCGAGGACGGGAACGATGAGGAATCGAAGATCAAGATACAGACAGACTAGTATAGCTACGTCCTAGTAAGTCCAAGCTTCTCCTCTAACAAACGCACAAACTTCGCCAAGACTATCCCGAAATTGGGCATACAAATTCCGAAAGACGTCCTCGACGAGACCGCTCGAAATCGGGTTATCGGATTTATGAAAAGTTTGTTTTCATACTGGTTATTTTGTGATAAGACCTTCTACTTGCATACGACCTTCACGCGGCCTACTTGAAGTGAGACGACCTTCACTTCTACTTGAAGAAGAACCTCTCTACGCTTAGTGAAAGCCTTGCATGCAAACTCTAGGCGTACTTGAACTTAGACTTCATCTCTACGTTAACGTTTAGTACCCAATTAAGGGTAACTCTATCTCTACCTCTACGCTTAGTGCCTCCCGAGTAACAAGATCAAGACTTTAAATCTACCTAAGCACAACACCCCCATCAACAGCTTCATTTGTGACATAGAAAATTCGATATGCCCACCAGCCGATGGACCAGAAGTGACCACAAGGGGAAGATCAGCCAGAAAAGACAGCGTCACCTCCGAAAGCAGGGTAAAGTTTTTAGCTTGAAGTTAGACTTGAAATCAAGATTAACTCCTAATAGGATTAACGATTTTTGATCGTCAACTACGCCGACGTCAACTACTCGTTAAACACAGTAGAACCTCTTTGTCCTGCTTGAAGATACTCGACGCATTGATAAGCGCTCACAACCTCTACAGAAATACCGGGATATGCAATGGCTAATGACGAAGATGAGGGGAAGCGTCATCGTTGGAGTGAATACTCTATACAATTATGCAATGTAGTAATATAGATTCCCAAACAAGTAGAGTTGTAACTGCTCCTGAGGGTGACGAGGACCCCAAAATAAAATTACAGTTTCCTCAAGGGTAGGTTAAAGGTGCTTTTCTTACCGCTTTTTATGCCTCTCCTAAGGGAGAAAGGCATAAAAAGCGGGGTAAGCGAGCACCAAAAACCTACCTCTAATGTAGATCTTCATGATGTCTCGTTTTTCCACTTGTTTCATGTTGAACTTGAACTTCCTCTTCTAATCCAAAGACGAACGTGGCAGGCAAAGTTTTGACATTCAGATATCTACTGTCGTCGATCCCAGCGGTCACTCGAGAGCAGCAAGCGGCGATGAGGTAACCAGTTGTTCGGAATGTTATGAAGTGGATGACGAGCTTCACATAACGACTAGCCAACAACTGAATTAGTAGTAGTAGTAGTAGTAGTACTTTCTTAGAATTTAATTCACTTTCACGACTAGTACGGAACCAGGCAGCTTTGAGTGAGTTGCTACGACGTGGTTCGAATGAATGAATGAATTCACTCACATGATCTCACTCTACAGAATGCAGCCGCAAGAAAAGCCGAGCTAGCGGAAAAGATGAACAACATGGTCCATCGGGTGTTGATTCCGGATATGATATTCTTTGATCGCGGAAAACCAACGCAATATTTTCTCACTTGCAACATGGACGAGGACGTTAGTTCAGGTATACTCACTTGTAACATGACGAGGGACGATGACGTTAGTTCAGATAAGTATGCAGCTCTTGCTTGCGAGGATGATTACGTTTTTGAGGATGTTGCTGCAATTCTTGGGAGAACTATAACTAGTACCAGAAGTTAGTAAGTAATTTCAAATCCACTCGAAGTTGCATCTGCCTGATCACCATCATCTCTTCAGCCGGCCAATCTGGTTTCGAGAGTACCACTAAGAAGAATTCGAAGGGCAAAACCATAGCTGCACCCGTTAGCACAGAGGAAAATGAGAAGAAGGCCAAGGACAGAAAATTAAGGCTAGAAGAGAGGATTCATCTTTGAGGGCATCCCTGCAAAGTATGAATGGGCATTCTCATCGTGGCACGGTTCAAGGATGCACATCAAAGATGAAAATGAGACAGCCCTAAGAAAAGCAAAACGTGAACTAAAGAAAACTCTAGATGCCGAGGTGGCAAAGGTCGCCGATTCTAACGCTTTGCTGACACAGCGGACCTTAACAGCGCTAGTGAAATTGCGCTCATCATCCGAATTGATTACAATTTATGGAGGATTGTATCATTCATCAATCATGTCAATCTCTCTTACTCTTTAGCTCAGACATCAGAAGGAACAGCATGATTGTCCAGAAGAAACACCAACAGACAGCAGGAGAAGTAGTAGGAGCTGTTCTTCAACATGTTCCGGCAATCACTACTAGAACTACTCATCCCTACTTTTTTAGAATTCATGATCTGGACCTCGAGTACAAATCCTCTCTTTTCATATCCTTGTCCGAGACTTTCTGCGAAAATCCATAGTGCTTCGAAGGAAAGCCATAGCCTACGAAAAGTTCGTCGCTGCGTGTGTTAGGGAAGCAGGGATGAGCGAGGAGGAGCTGGCCACTGCCATAGCACAATACGCGAATCCCAGACTCGAAGTAAACCCTTACAAATATTTTCTATTATGAAGGGACTAGATTCAGACTATTGTGAATTCGTGAATAGATACGCAGGAGAGGACAGGAGAGGAAGATGCTAGAATCAACAGTAGGGACTGCGATATCAAATCTGGAAACAAAGTATCACCAGGCTCGAAGTGGCCCAACAGAAGAATCAACTTCTTCCTCTTTGTTCGAGAACAAAGGGGAAGAAGTTGATTCTTACCGCGGCGTATAGATGGTGCCAGGCAACTACCAAGTCTTCCTCACGCTCCTGCATTCTTACCACGACGAAGAAGAACCCCAAGTACTAGTAGTAATAGTAAACCTATATACTAGTAGTAATCGTACACCTACTCGCACTCCACCTACACGACGTACTAACCCCCGTACTCTAACCGGCGTACCTGGTAAAGAGGGTGAGATGACGCAGATGCAGGGGGTTACAGTGTATTTGCCACCAGGAAGTGTAGACGGACCGAACGGACTCGCGATGGTTAAAGCGCAAAAGCCCTTCATACGAACTTACACGTCAAAGCGTGGCATTGTGCCTAGGCAAGCCTCGCTTCAATGGAAGCCGCCTGAAGGGGGGTCCTCAGGTAATTGAAGTTGAAGACACTATTGACATTGACTTTTCTTATTTCGATTTTTGTTTTTTCTAGGTAGGTTGGCTCCTCCACAAAGTATAGAAGATGAAGTCCAAATAAGTACAATGATACTCTTTTCGATGATTATTTGATGATGTTAATCATGGCAACTACTTAATGCTATACCTATAGTACATCATGTAACAGTGTTAACATGTAAGTCTACTACAGGAGGTGCAACCTTCTACCTTTTTTTTTGAAGATCAACAGCAAGGCTTTACAACACTCTACGATGACTCAGGCACTCCCTCCACTCTCCAACATTCTCAAAACACGACAGACACTAAAGCTCCAGGGCCACACGCACTTAGTAACGCAGTTAATCCATACGCGGACAGCATGGAGATGATTCGCATACAGTACAAAGACGGTTCAGTGCGATTGTGGTTATGGCTCTTGTTGCTCGATTTTAGAGTTGAATACATAGTGAGATTGATGATCTTTCTTCGTGGATAATTTGCACTTCATCTTACCCATTGAGTGCTCTACTTCTGCTTGATTCATCCCAAGAGGGCTGTAGCAGGAAGATGAAGCTGGCCTATGTATTACTATTTGTAAAGTTTTGATGTGTAATAAATGTAATTGTTCTTACGATTAGGATTAGATCTTCTTCATTTTGATATTCGCTACCTAGTACAACGAAGGGCTCTCGTCTTCCTTCTAATCCTGAGTGATCGAGAAGTCCGTATGTTTTGCGTTTTGCGGAAGCCTAACAGGCAAGAATTCATGGATATACAAAGCATGCAGATCCTGCCTTTTGCGGGAATGCACAACACGAACGACTCCTTGCAATTTGTTACGTATAACTACAACGAGAAGCTAGTAGCGTTGAAAGCAAAAATGCGTGCGAGAAGTCCGCAACGGGAAAAAGTCATATACGATCCAGTGCCCGCGAGACCAATTAGTACTTATATGTCAATGTCAATGTGTTTGATGAAAAATATAAATGTAGAGTTCGAGGAGTTGATGCAGAAACTGCATTGACGCGCGTTTTTGGAAATGACTGCATACACAGCGTCGAGCAGGACTCATTTCATGATCAAATTCATGACTGCAGCTTCATCGATAACCTCTGTCTGACTTCAATTTCATTATTCTTCCTCATGCTAGGTCCAAAACGAGCCGTCTCCATACCATTCGAGAATAAGGCCTCGAAGAATCAAGAGGAAGAAGAACCTGAGCCAGTGCCAGAAGTAAAGAAGAAGCCTTCTATTATGTTGCAAACACGAAGGCGCGTAGTTTCTTCTTGTCCTTTGTGTGTATCAGCAATACAATCAGAATGATCATCAACAGGCACTACCTCTGCCACAGCAGCTAAACTTATTCAAAGCAAAAACAAAAAGCTGTTAGCTGTAGCATCTTTCGCTTGCGAGGAGCCACGTCAAATATGGTTATGACCTCCACCACTCTAATTCAGAGAAAAAGCCACCATCTGCTGATGAAGGTGCTAACGAAGCGAGCAAGTCTAGCAAGGAAGCACCGAAAGGAGCGTCGCAAGACGCAGGTGGGAATAGTACGAAGTTAGGACTTGAAACTTGACCTTAGACTTCTGAAACAAGAAAGGTGTAATGAATTCCAAGAGGTTCGCTCTTAAAATACATCTACTTCTTCAACATGCTTTCAATTTCATTTACTAGTAAAATAAAGTTCTTCATCTAATCTTCGGAGCGGCGGCAACTGTCCCTGAGGCTCCCGCGAATCCGCTGGCGAGTGCAAATTTGTCACCGGACTTGGCGATGATGCGCGAATATTTCCCTGATGCTCAGGTGGTTTTAGCGGAAGAATACGAAGGCGGGAAGATTTATCTCCCAGGTGAGGAAGTTCAGAGGATACGGGAATTGCAGCGCTCGTTATCGCCAGAAAGATACAAAACGAAAAAGAAGAAGCCGAAGGCGGCTGTTGCAGCAGCGCCAGCAGCTGCTTCACTTATGACAAAAAAATGTGATGATCTCGCGTGAAACAAGAGAGAGACCACCAAGAATACGATATCAGGAGAGAGTGATTATGTAGCTCACTTTTAATCGTAGTGGTCGTAGTCTGTATGTACTAGCCTACGCTTAGGTCAAATCCGCTTCCGCACAACCAAAACCATAAAATAACTGACCACCATAATTTTCCTGTTTCGCTTTGAATCCCTGCCATTGTTCTCACGACCCTCTAAAAATCCTAGTAAAGAAAAAGCGTCAACTTCAGGTGCCAGTCCCTCACCACCTTCGAAAAGCAGTGCTTCGGGAAGTGGTGGCGCGACATCTTCTACTGCAGTAGTAGCCGCCTCAACAACCGAGGATCATACCAGTAGTCCAGCTGCATCGAAAGAGCGATATATACAAGGCGGCAAAGAGCAAATTGGCGGCAGCAAACCCTCCAAAACCATAGCACCGCCAAAAGTGCCTGCACTGAATCTAGGAAGTGGCGACAATGCTCCACCAGGACCCGAGTTCTTCGAAAGGAAACGCGGGGAAGTAATAGAAGCCCTGGGTCGTGGACCTGAGCTGCATTACATGATGACGAATACGGATAGGGAACAAATCATGTTATGATCGTGATTCTTGTTACCGCGAACAGACATGATGAAAATAGCAAGCGCAGCACTGCGCTTGTTCAGCTCTTTTTACCCCTCGCCTTGGTACAGAGCTTGAGGTGGGCCACACTTCTGTTCTAACGGCTCTCTCTCCCTCCTCCACCAGAAAATGCGAACCTCAACCTGTCCCCAACAACATTCTAATGAATGATCTTCCTTTCCCATCACCTAAGTTTTTCTAATCGGCGACGAGACAATAGATAAGCTGAACGCGTGGCTAGAGGAGCACTTCAATCTTCGGATATTTGCCGGTATTTTCGAATTCGCCTTCGCAAAAATCGACGTCCCAACGGTCTATGGACTCGAGCAACAAAAGAAAAGACCGAGTCAGCAACAGACAAGTACTAAATATTTCTTGGTCCTCGTGGATGAGTTCTTCATTTTTTAGAAGGCTCCTCCTTTTTCTAAAGTACTACGTACTGCAAGTGCAACTCCACTAGAATCACACACTTTTCCCAGTCGACCCGAATGGTCCATCGAAAAAAGAGAGGGTGAAGAGAAGTCCTTTGTCCGTAGTATCAGAGTTGCAGGAAACCCGGGTTAGAGGGTACTTGATGAACGCATCGAAACTAGTGGTGGGAAAAAGTAATGCGAAGATGAAACAAACGATGTTATGAACTTGGATGAGCAGGCTTTTTTTGAGTAACTACAAGTTACTCTGATGCAATGATCATCTCTGTTGTGGAGGTTTTATTTGAGTAACAAGCTACTCTGATGCAATGATCATCTCTGTTGTGGAAAAGTACTCGTCTTTGATTAGCAACTTCAACGTTTCCTCTAGCTCTAATCGTTGGCGCATCCCCTGCTACTCGAGCGAGTTCGCCGTCTCCATATGCTAGCGATCACGGTGCACCGGAAGACGAATACGTGGTCTATGGTATTCAATATTGGTATCGAAATTGAATTTAGAATTTTGAATACTATTCATTGGTATCTGAATACTATTGGTATACTAGTGGATCGACCAACAGTGTAGAGAGAGTAAGGAACGATAGTGGCAAGCTCCCCAATATTGGAGCTTGCTCTAAATTTAATACACTTTGAGCATTATTCGACTTTCTGTGTCTCTGTCTGTCTCCAAAAGATGACTACCCAAAGAACGTCTTCTCTCAATGAATTTGAATGGGTCAACAACAAAAAATGAGGTGTGAATTCTTTCTCTTACTCTTTCGGCAACACGATCAACATCGTGCATGATGAAAACCAAGGATCATGTGCTAACCTAACGCACACAGATTCTCCAGACGACATGTCCCCTGACCACCAGAAGAGTCCTGACAGCTCACCTGGCCCCAGTGAAACAGCTGAAGATCTAGCAGAGCGAGCATTGGGGAAGAAAAAAAGGATAAAGTGGAAAACACAAGCGGGTCCGGAAATGTTGACCAATATTTATGTCAAGAACAATCGGTTGTGGTTGAGGTTGCTTTTTTTCTGTTGTAACTCTAGTAACTGTAAGTTGTACTTCTTAGGTGTAGAACTAGAACACCTCCTTGTTAAAGTAGACGATCGCACCACTGTTGGCATGTTCTTCATACCTCCTTCTACTAGTAAACTCCAGCTTCTTGTTTCAAATCAACATTTAAAGTAAAGTCCATCATCCTCGTCCTCCACAACGACAACGTCTCGTTACCGCCAACATCTTATCTTCACAACATCAATCTTCTCTTCTCCTTCTAAAACTCGGTCGATATGTGGGAGCCAATCCGGTTGGAGTGTTCTACAGACCCGTTAGCTGAATTCAAGCGTTCTCAGCATGGCGCGGAAGCAAATTCCTTTTAAGGCTTACCGGAAACACTACGACGCCCTCAGGCAGTCTGAACTGAAGTTTGTGCGAGGCTATCCCTTGTCCTTAATTGCTCGCAAAAGTCTAGTCCTCTCATCATTATTGTATTGTATGCGGCGCCTGGAATAGATGGATCCTACCTAGGAGCATGGCCATTACAATAAAATCTGCGCTACTCTATCCTTTATCTACATTCGTTTTTTTTTTTTTTACTTTTCCTAGTTGTTAGGTTGATGGCTCCACCATCCATATTATTTTTGTATTGTATTGCGTTATTGCGTTGCATCTTGGGCCTCCTGTGTAAGGAAGTACCCGTAAATAGAGCAGATGACTTCCGAGGTGAATATCTCTAATTTCTAGATGTGATGGTCCGGGCAACTGTTGACGCAGCACGAGAAGGGACGCCCTTTGAGCACGTGGCCTTCATAGCTGAGGACCCAGCACCATGTGAGCGATTAGAAACAGCGGGGAATAAATTAGGTATTAATCTGGATCTGGAATTGTAAGTTTTATTGAACTAAATGGTCTAAGTTGTAATGCTCCTGGATATTGTGCACACAAGTCCTTTTTTTATGAAGATGTTTGGTCATTATACCTTTCAGTTTCATTTCATTTTCAAGACCTCCACAACTAAAAATTCACTATAATAAGTAGCACTTTCTTCATCCATGTAACCCTCCTCGACTAGGTCAACGCGTAACCGAAGCGAACAAAGTATTGAAAACACGTGTTGGACCGATTGGTGCTTTATTGAGCAAGCCGTTGACAAGGAGTATGTCAGATGCTGGAGTCTCTGAGGTCCAGACTTCGAGAAGATCGAGAATAGAGAAGCATCACGCTTCGAATTCATCTCTAGCCAGCGGCCCTTCTCCCCTGCTGCCACCCAGCAGTGTGTCACTACTTAGTAGACAAGGGACAGTTAAGGCTACCCCTTCAATAAGTAAGTGATGATCCCTCTTCAATGAGTAAGATCCCGCCTCTTCAAGAAGTAAGTGATGATCCCTCTTAAGGTTAAGAGATGATCCCTCTACCTCTTAAGGTTAAGAGATGATGATGATCCCTCTAATAGTAAGTCTTTATTATGCCCTGGGCATGATGATAGATCCCTCTTCTTTCAGTATCTCCCTTGTTTTCAATAGTTACTCGGTCTCGGTTATTTCAGCTTATCGAATAGGTGCACCTCCACGGACATTGTTCTCGTTGAGACAGTGAAGATGAGTTAAGAGGAGCTCTAAGGTACCACCAGGACTGGCTAGCAAGACTCTCATGAGTGGACCTCCTAGTTTAGTCGGATCTTCTTCGAGAGGTGGTCCTAGCAGTGGTCAGGGCATGATGGGCCATTCTATTAAGGCTTCTTCCTAATCCATCTCGTACTAAATCTAAAGCATCCTGAGGAGGCTGTATTTCAACAGGGAAAAGTGATCTTCAGGATGGATTTGGGTGAGTTCTAATTCCAGTGGTCAAGGCATGTCAGCACTGATGCATCCCGGATCGGCACGCTCAGCGAATTTGGCTCCGTCATCTTCAGGCATGCTGCCGCAGAGTAAGGGAACCCGCTTGCAGAGTGCTGGACAGAGGGCATTGCTTCCATCATACGGAACGCCGGCTAGTCCAGCAAAAATCGATGTGTCGCGGAACTTCTTAGGAGAAGCGCTAGCGGAAGCTACTACACCAGCACCAGCAACAGCGGGAAGTGTTCGAAGACTAGCCTCGCCAGCGCGCACGACATGCGACTCACTCGCGGACCTGATAGCGTCTTCTGGTGCGACGTAGACGGATGAACATTCGAGTTGTACTAGATCTGGATGGAGATTATCATCAACATTTCATACGTCTAGCTCTAGGACGGGCTGTAGTTCTACTTGTGCATATGAGGACTTCAATCTACTACATCTTCACATTGGACATGGAATTCCGAAATTCTGCATAAGATGTAACGTAGCATATTTATCATGGTGTTAGAGATGAATTTCGACTTCAAGAGATTTTTTGTGCATAGTGTCACTTTTCATGCGGCATAAATAATGTACTAACTTGTGCTTTTTCTTGAAATGTATCTCTTATTTTTTAGAGCAGTTGTCATAGATATCATTAAGAGCATGGTAAAAGGATGAAAAATAGCGTACAGATACTCGAAAGAAAGACCAAATCGATCCCAGTAAAAGATTCTTATTCGTTGAAGACTATCGTAGCTATAGATTGTGATTGTGAAGTACAAAAAGTATGATAGGTTCTAAAGTGGAAAAACAAAAGCCAATCGATCCCGTTATAAGAGATTCTTATTCGTTGCCAGTAGTTGCACGGAAAGAGATAAATGTATCTCTCTGTATGACTACAGCCAAGCCATCTGAAATTAAGCACATTTTCAATTGATGTTTTTGTTGCATCAAAGTGCAAAGCTGAATTACAATGAATTTGAAGAGAAAGTCAATCGCTTCCAGAAGCGTATTAGATAAGCTTAGCGTCGTTATAGTCGTGAATATCCTAGTAGTTATACAGAATCAGAAGTCGTTAATATCCTAGTATAGCGTTAGCGTCGTTACACTCACATGCAGATGAATTGTTATATGCAGGTCTAAAGAACCTACTTACTTGAAATATTATCGCACCCACGTGGTATAGCCAGAGTGACATCAAAGGTGAATGAAACAGCCAGATTAAAGACTGAATGATTTTTGGCTTGAAGTTGACGATGAATTGAAAATGAAATTAAAGACTACAGACTCACTGACACTAGAGATTGGTAGAGTACTCGTTACACAGATTCCTATTCCTTTGCCAGATCGAAAGCAGAAAAATCCGTTACGTATCCTTCTTAAGCAGGTAGAATATGGGTCCTCGCTTATTCCAAAACCGATGACAAACTTTCAAGCAAAACCGTGATCATGTGCAGTTGTATGCGTATAGTAGTTGTATGGTACAATTACCATACGGACACAGACAGCAGGTGCTTTGTTATCAGTCCAGAAGAACAATCAACTACCAAAAGGGTTTCTTGCCCATCACAATAGCGGCTACGAAATGGTCGTTGCTACTTACCTACCGCCGCTAAAGATATTGATATGAACCATCTGCGCTAAGTAAGAGTGAACGGTTATGGTATGCGTATTGGTAAAATAAATGAGTGGAATTATTGAGGACAACGAGTGGTAATCTCGAGGGCACATACTCACTTTGAGCGAACATGAGGAAACCAGAACGGTAACGGAGTGCTAGAACGCTAGAACTATTCGCATGTGTGAATAGACTGTGGATCATGCATAATCGATTTTGCGTGCCGCCAGAAGTCTCCAAGTGACGTAGGCGGGGGCGGGGCAGGGTCTTTAAACAAAAGGAGAGCACGAGTAGTACTAGAAGTAGTACCTCCTGCAAAAGACCACGGGCATCGGACAGTAACAATTAAAAAGTGCCGTCTTCGTCTTCAAAAGGGCACCACATAGAGGTACGATGAAAGCATCTAAATTAGCAGATCGCCGCATTGCTGGTCCTCGAGGACCATTTGGGCAGCTGTGTCAGAGCCTTGGGGTAGACGAGCGAGACGTGTACCAAAAGCCTGACACGATAAAACGCCTGGAATTGGTCCTAGGCGATGTTGGGAATGATCGCCTCTTCTGGTCAGTCCTAGGAAATGCCTATTTGCCTTATCTAGTGGACTTGAGTCTGATCAATCAGGACATAGGCACTGAGGTACTGGAGTCGATCTTTAGCAAAAACAGAAAGATTCTGGACGACCGAGGGCGGTTGGATTGTGGTACGCGATGGTCGTGCTTCATCTTTTGCTAGTTACATAAGTAGCTGTTGCTTATCCGTATGCTTGTGTGGTGAAGATAAATGCTTTCTCAGTCAGCAAGAACAAGGTTTGAATGCTTCATGTCGTAACGAAGAAGGATCAACGCTGCTCTTCTTTTTTCCCCTTGTAAGCCAAGCAAAATCAGGTTTAAGCTCCGAACCTCCGCCTTGTGGCGAAATCATAGTGCAATCGCGATGCGACGCAGATATCTACGTCCCACTTCCGTCTCTAAAGCGCCTGAATCTTTCCGAGAATCGAATTACTCGACTTCCTGATACGTTTTTCCTTTTGAAGAATCTGGTGCATTTGGAACTTGGTTGCAATGAATTGGAATCGCTGGAAAACGCCCTTGAGTACTGTTATGATGGCCGCATCGTCACATTGCCAACCCGGGATCTCCCAGAGCTTCTCCTGCGAATCGACAACGAGACCGCGACTGCAGCTCCACCAAGAAAGCAACAAGACGCAGCCGAAGATCAGTGGTCTTCTGATAACTCTTCGGAAGCGGAATTTGGCGATGAAGAACGATCCTCTTCGAAACAGAGTTCCTTGGCTGCAAAAGATGAGAGTACTCCGGATTCTAGCAGACCCCAATCCAAAGATCACCCTGCTGGTGCAGCTCAAGGAGCAAATAACTCTTCCGGTTCCACCAAACAGGAGACACTTTACCAGGCTGTGCGCGATGTTCTTGCCTTTCGTTCGAGGGACCTCGTTGATAGCGTCGGTGCTTCGAATCGCGTTCTGCGGTCGAAATTGCGTGTCCTAAACGTTTCTGAGAATCGTCTGCGGACTTTGGAGGGCATTCATCGACTTTCTTCTTGCTCATTGGAGTCCCTGAATGTTGCGCTAAACCCATTGGCATCGTTGGCGCCTTTGTGGAGCAAGAGGAAAAGGAGGAGCTTGAAGATTGCTGCAGGTCCCAGTAGTGGTTCTTCCAGCTTAGCTGAAGATCCTGATGAAGCATCAACCTTTGTAGTTGACGAAGATTCCACCTATACTCTACTGAGTTCCTCTCGCCTAAAAAAGCTTAATGCGGCCGGCTGTCCTCTCTGCGATTTCAGGGATATATCACCGTTGGCGAAGACGTGTCAGCTGGAAGATGTGGCGTTCAAAGACCCGGACTATGGGTTACGGCATTCCACTTGACCTTGTTTTGTTTTCTGTTTGATCATTGACATTGCGTTTCTCTTTTGCTAGAAGTAGACTAAAAATGAAATTAGATGATCATGAACATCTCTCTCATAGTGCCTCTTCTAATTCATACCTCTCTCGTTACGGAGATGCAGAATTATGATGTCTTTATGCTTGCAACCTTTCCAGCGCTCAGAGTTTTGGATTCTCGCGACGTCACGCCTGAGATCCGTGAAGAGGCTGAGACCACGTACTTCTAGATTCTAATGTCTGAACCAAAGGAGGTCCTTTCGTGTACGATGCGTGATCATTCACCTCTTACACTATCTTCAGCATCTTCACTGTCCCTATCATTTGAAGACTCCACAGCAGCACAACATTGATTCCTCCAAAGCAAAAAATGCGATCAGGAGCACTCTCCAACCAGGTACTCCCGCCGCGAACTGTGGTACCACACGAGACGGAAGCTCTTACAAAGACAGGTCCTTGATACTCGGAAGTTAGCTGCGGAGAGGAAAGCGGAGATGCTAAAGATTGTGGAACAGAAGTACGAGGATGTCTTTTCTGCGTGGAATGCATTTGTAACAGCGAATCTGTGCGGATGCTGGACGTGCTGCGAAGCACATGCTGGACGTGGACTAGGAGAATCGAGGACGGCGTTGGCTGCTTATGGTAGAGATGTTCGTCCAACATTGATGCTGATATTAAACGTCGATGATGTTCCTGTTCCACCACGACCTGAGATTTATTCTATTCTCCCCTGCTGGATATGCGATCCACCTTCTAGTAAGCACTTCTAACGTCCACTGCCGCCACCCCAGGATTACCTTTTTGCTTCTGAGATTATCCCAAGGGGACAAGAAGTGGAGTCTGGCGGTGCTCAACACGAAGATGCCGAAGAAGATAGATCAGACGCCCAAGCTGTCGTCGTTCCATCCCGCTTTTTTGTTCGCGATCACTATTCTCAAGGGCTGGAGCTGTCAACTTCTGGAACAAGCGGGATGGGCGGTCTAGGTGAACCTGAAAGTGCTACTGCGTCTCCTTTCGGAGGTGGTTACAATCAGAAAAACTACTCGTCAACAGCCTCATCTTCTTCATCTTGTACCAAGAACAAGAACGGCACGGCGCCATCAAATCGCGTAGACCTAGACCTCATCTGTGCTCATAAGCTATTGCTACGCTTCCTTCGGACTCGCTTTTCAGATATGAAGCAGACAGAATTTTTGTGGGAGCGATGGACTTCGATGTTGGCAGCTGCGGAAGCGCGTGCCATGAAGCTGTCATGCGATTTGGAACTGTCGTCATGCGGTAATATAGCACTAGAACGGTATGAAATGCCTGTTCTGACGAACAACTTAGCAGCACGAGTGGCGGAACTTGGGTTCTTGCAAATGAATACCACAATTTCCGCAGTAAACGTGAATTATAGCGGTACATCGTCGAAGGGACACCAGGGAGCGACAACGGCTGAAAACTCAACACCATGGAGTAGCACACCAACGTCAGCTGGCGCAAACGAAGTTCCGTCAGCTACCTCAATAAACGCAGGAACACCATCCACAGAAACACAGCATCGCAACGCCGGTCCCTATGCATGCGTCGGCGGCTATTACATCGATAAGGACGGCTCACATGGTATTGCGGTGCCACGAGACATGATGCAACAGATCTTGGCGTCGTCGTCGTCGAACCTGAACGTGAACAACAAGCATAAACATATTAAGTCTTCTCCTGATGTTGAAACTTTGAAGCGCTTGACCTCTGCTCATCCTTGGTGGGCCCTCGCGGCGGCTGAGATTGTTTCGCAGAGATTCTGTTTGGCTGACCTGTCGTTAAGGCTCTGGCTCAAAGTAAGTAATCCAAATTCAATTTCATGGGTCTGGGTCATTCTCTTCTCTTCGGAGGTTTCCTTCCAATTCAATTTCATGGGTCATTCTTTTTTTTTTGTAGTGCGAGCGAGTTCCGATAAGTCAAAACCTCCGTGCGCATTTCTCTTCTGAGGTTTCCTTCCTGGCGCGTTCAATTTCCAATTCAATTTCCTGGGCAACATGGGTCATTCTCTTCTCTTCTGAGGTTTCCTTCCTGGCGAATTCAATTTCCTGGGAAACTGATGAAATAAACCGAAGCAGAAAAAACATTGCTTTGCGCTCTAATGTCGGATCAGTTTGGCGTAGAGAAAGTCCGTATCAAGTCCGTGACACGAATTCGTGACAATTTTGCGGAAGCTCGCGCGCAACTGTGGAAGCGAGAATCCAATTCTGCTCTCAGTGTAGCGAGTTCGAGGGGTCTACGGAGAAACGGTCGAGGCTTTGTTGGGGAAGTGCTGGAGGAAATAGAAGTGAAGAATCTGTTGAATAGTACTACTGCAGAAGAACTATGCAGAGGGTCGGGGGCGACTAGTACAGGTGCTGGATTCCCCAATGCTTCGATGCTACAACAAGGATCAGAGGGCCAAGAGCTAGGTCTTAGTCTTCCTCCTCCATATGGTACGGCAGAAGCCTCTGTGTCCGTGGTTGCGCCCTCTACTGCAGCACCGATTGCAGGCAGTGCACGTTTGACGCCTGACGCTTCCGGTGTAACAACTCCGCGAGAGCCTGATCAAGAACAGTCACCTGAAAAAATCGTTTCAACTAACAATCTGGTGAACATCTTGAACGTCGATAAAGTTGACGATGAGCAAGGAAGCAAAGACCGACACTTAGATTTACAGAGTGACGAACCGAGTCAAATTCCGAGTCCGATAAGTAGTGGAAACGTGTCTACAGCGTCACTACGAGGGGCAGCTCCTGCAGGTACTTCGAGTTCGACGGGTGGTGCGGTGCAGAAATCAGCGTCCCTGCGAAGTAACAACCTGTTAGGTTCCGGCGCGGCAAAGAGTGGAGGGACAGCTTCTCTTTATGGATAGAACTACAAGAAGGGGTCTTATTTGTCTCAGTCTCTACTGGAACTGTTACCGTAATTATAAATCTATCATGTCCTACTTCCTCGTCCACTACAACCACTCGCTAATCCCTGTCCCTAGGGCGTTCTGGGTCCAAACGGCGTGGTGGTCAGGGTAACAAGACCTCTGCAGGCGGAGGTGGTGGACCGATT